CCCGGCCATTGGCCAGCGCCCCGCCCGTCTGCGCGCCCCCGCCGGCCGCGCACTCCATGAAGGGCCCATTAGCGAGGCAGGTGCCTCCCCGGCTGTAAATTTGCCCCCTGATTTATCTCCCCCGGGACGAAATAAATCCCGTTGGATGGGAGTTTAGTTAGGCAAAGGTTTTAATGGGAAATCAGGAAAAAATACGAGAACATATTTTATCGCCCGAAAGAATGCAGATTTGAGGATCGGCTCAGCACGCTCTGTGCGCCCCATTCGGTGAAGAGCCCCAGGTGTGCGGCCGCGGGGAGCCAGCCGGCACGGTCGTGGAGCCTGGCCAGGGCCTCCGACCCCGTCCCCGCGGCTTCCGGCAGTCCCGGGCTCAGGTGTCGAGGAGTACCGCGAACATTTGGGGGTAATGTCCTCTGTGTCGCAGACGGGCGGGGGACGCTGGGGCTCGTAGTCCACGGGAGTCCACGCGCCGAAGGGCCAACGCGAATCTACCCTGCTTTAACCAACACACTGCTGGCGCGGTGGCGAGACCCGTCCCGGGGACACGCGCGAGGCCGGCGACTCGCGGGCGCTGCCAGGCGGGCAGTTCCCGGTCCCCTCCCAGCCCGCGGCACTGCCCTCTGCCGGGTCGGGGCGCGGGGACCGTCCGGACCTCCGGGTCCGGCGTTTCCTGGTCGCGAAGTCGCAGCTTGGTTCCCGGGAGGCAGCCTGAGCCTCGGGCTTCGACCCGGACCCCACGACCAAGCCCACGGGCCGCTGTCTCGTGAAGCGCAGCCCGAGCCAGGAGAACGGGGACCAAGCCGGCTCAGAGCTCCAGAACCCAGGGCGCGCAGGGGCCACGTGCAAGGCCTAGACGTGGGTGCGCTCCCCAAGCGCAGTGGGCAGAAGGGCGGCCTTCACAGGGGCACGTGGGGCCCCAGGTGTCTCCTTCTGGTACGAAAAGCCCCCAGCCCGTAGCATTGCTGTGGGATTCAAATTAGATCGCAGTGGACCCGGGGCGCCGGCGGAGAGCCGCTGCTGAGTAAAATGCTGGGCGTTGTCGCCTTCATCCTTCTGGGTGGGGTGTCACATTAAATCCTAAGAGTTGGCTCTTACTGTTATTCGCTGCCTGCTCAGAGCCATGACCCTAACGAGAGCGAACGGACGGCCATTTCGTGGCCAGGGGTGGGCGGCCTGCGCCAGGCCCCCGGCCTCTCTCCGGCCTGGTGCCGTTCCTTAGCAACGACTTTCGCGTTTCACTCCTGCCGCCAGGGTTTGGACCGTGTGGATGGAGGCGAGCCTCCTGGCTCCGGACAGGGACCCAGCGTCCGCTTGCACAGTGTCCTTCGAGGGTCCGTTTTCGTTTTGGGCAGTTAGAGGCGGGGTCTTGGCTCCGAGGGTCCCTGCACCGTATCGCGGCTCTGAGAGCCACTGGCCGGCGGGGCTGGGCGGGCTTTCGGTGGTCGCCCCCGGCTTGGGCGCGCGCGCACGGTGCTGCCGGGGGGAGGCTGCGGGAAGCGAGGGGCCCTCAGCTTCGTGTGCGGTGCGGTTCCTCTCTCCCCGATTCCTCGGCCGGGCCACACTCGACCGATCCGGGTGTGGCTGCCCCCGCAGGCGCTCTGTCCCAGCGGAGCCTGGCGCCCAGGACAGGGCAGCGCCCCTCCAGGATTCCCGCGCTGCGTCCGGCGGCGGGTCCCCAAGTCCGGAGACCCAATTCGGCCTCGCTTAGAACACGCCCCACTTCCTCGGAGCAAACAGCGTGTGTGCGCCCCGACAGCCTGGGCGCGGGGACACTCTCCCAGCAGGATTGGAGCCCCTCTGGGCTCCCCAAACCGTGCCCCACCCCTGGCGGAGGCTAGGCGGCCAAGGCTGGGGCTCCGGTGGGGGTGGAACCGAGTGGGCGGGGCCGAGTGGGGGTGGGGTCGCGTCCCTCCTCCTGACCCCCTCTTTGCTCTACCCTACCGACGGTGGGCGGGGGCGACCCGGGACAGGAGGGGCGCGCCCGGGCGGGACGACAGGGGCACACTGTCCTCCCAAAGGGTGCGGGCGGCTCTGGCTCAGAGGCAGGAGAACCCGGGTGGCTCGAGGAGCTGCGCTTTAGGCGGGAGCCTCCCAGCCCTTTTTTACCGCCGAGGAAAAAGAGCCCCCTAGTCGCTGTCCTGCGCCCCAGCGACCCCGGGTCTGTCCACGTCGCCCGGCCCTCTCTGGGCTCCAGCTGGAACGCTTGGGATCTCTAGTGTGGCTGCGGTCTCCTTTGGCCTCAGCGCGCAAGGCCCCTGGGGGAGTCAGTGGCGGTGGCTGCGGAACGGGGGTGGGAGTGAGTGTGAGCTTCGGGAGAGAGGGGTGCGGGGATGGAGGTCTCGGTGCGCTCCCCGGGCGTCCCCCCTTGCCAGGTGCTCGAGGTTCCCAAGCCAGCGCCTGGGACAGTCCCCACCCTCCTGGACCCGCACCTCTGGTATCCCTGCCCCCAGTGTCCGGTCCCGGCTATGAAGACTCCCTACCCGCCGCCTCTGACCTGCCCCCCCCCACCCAGGGCTATCCGGGGCTCCCACCCGCACCCCCTTCGGTGCCCCCAGGCGCTGCCCCTCCTCCGGGGAAGGTCCGGAGGCCCGCCTGCGGGGAAGGAGCGCCTCTGGGCTCCCAGTGTGGGTGGATTTCCTGGGCCAGAGCTGAGAGGTTGGAGAATGCCATCTCCTGGTCTTGAAGAAAACATCCTACAAAGGAAGTTGCCACTTTCCATGCAAACTTACAGGTTGTCGGAAGGTGGAGAGCACGCTATTTGGTATAGGCCTTTATGCATTCATCATGTATTTATTCGGCACCTACCATGTGCCAGGCACGCCCTGGGAGGGCCGTGGGAATGCAGCGCACCCCGTGGGAGGGGTGGGCAATAAACCGTAAACTTGAGGAGCTTCAGCAAGAGCCTGCTGGAGGGGACCACTATGTTGGGGGAGGTGGGGTCAGGGCAGGGGGTTCCCTGGGGAGGGCTGGCCAGGGCCAGCTGACGTCCTCAAAACATGGCTCCTTGAGGGAAGTTGGGAGGGGACAGGTGGGACAACAGGAAGGGAGCTTGGATTCCCGCTCCACGGGCAAGGAAGCCCTGAGTCCTCTAAGACCCTATTAGTGAAGTGGACATCATAAGTCCCTGAGCTGCTGCTGCCCCAACCATGATCGCTCTGGGCCGGGCTCTGGGGGCAGCCTCTGGCAGAGGGCCCTTGCTTTGTTCCCACAGTTTTCAACCTGTTGCGTGATGAGGCCCCACAGCGGTGTCCAATTCAGGGATTGCTGACCCAGGGGTCCGTGAGCCAAAACAAGGAAAGGGACCACTGAGGTGACCTACATGTAACTTGCAGCTGCAGGGCTCACGGGGTAAGGGAAGACGTGCAGTCACCAGGACCCTGGAGGGCAGGCCCGGGGGCACCACAGGGTGGCGCCTGCTCAGAGGAGAAGGCGCCAGAGCCAATCCCACCTGCCACCCTGCCAAGCAAACCGCGGGGGGCCGCATGCAAAGACCCTCTACTGGCAGACCTCACCCCCTCACCCCACCCCTGCCCTTGACAGAGGAGTGACCAGGGGCTGTCTGAAAGGCCCTGAGGTGGGCCGGCCAGGTGCCAAGAGGAGTTGCTGCTCAGCCCGCCCCACCCCAGCCCTCCCCCCACGTGCATGCTCCAGCCCGGTCCACTGCCCAGGAACAGCCAAGGCCCCTCTGCCCAGTGGCATCTGCTGAATGACCGTCTCTGAGCATGGCGGCCTGTCAGCGCCCAGGTCAGCAAGGACTCTACATGCTCAGGTATGGACATACATCTGGGCCCCAGGCTGCAGAGCCCTGTGTCAGGGTCGGGGAGGGGTTCTGTGCTCTCCCAGGGAGTAGACACCTCCAAGGGGCCTCTGGGCACCCTGAGCCAAAGGGCATCTTGGACAAGGGGAGGTGGGCAGGAAGAGGCCAGCAAGGCCCTGGAAGGCCGGTACCCTCAGCAGCTGGGAGGAGGCCCTCGGAGGAGGTCCCAGAGGTGTGCTAATGAAGGGGCGGGGGCTGGGACCAGGCAGGGGTGTGGGGGAGCCCCAGCTGCCCACTCTTCCTTGGCCAGAAGCAGTCTGGACAGCAGTAAGGGGGGATGGGACCTCGACAGCCGGGGGGCACCCCCCAGTGCTCCCATGGACCCTGCCTGCCCATCCTCTGCAGACCTCCAGCTCCCTCCTGCCTTGCCCCTCCCTGCACCCCAGCTCCTCCGCCCTTACTCCAGCGCCTTTATTTCTTTACAAGCTATTTATCTGACAAGCGTAACGTCCGTAGGAGAGTACACAGAATTACCTGCACGTTCCTGCATTCCTTGTGGTCCCTTGCATTGCTGGCTTCACTCCCCTTCTCTGGAAGTTGTGCAGCCCCGCGTGCAAGCGCTTGACGGGATGGGTCTTCTTGGAGTCGCTGCCCTGCTCTGCATATCTGCGCACACCCGGGCCCCCCGCGCAGTGGGATGCAGCATCTACACGGGCTCCGTATGGGCTATGACCTGCGACCCGGCCCCACAACTCGGGGTCCTCCTCTGTTTGGGGGACACGGGTCCACAGACCGGTCGCAGCTGTGGGGTGCACACGTACAGATGTGTCCTTCCTCTGCCGACACGGCCAGCTACTGTGGCTGTCATCGGCCTCTCGTGAATGCTTCTTAAGAGGGGGGCACCCCCACCCTCCGAGGCCAGACCTCTGCAGTCAGGACGGCCCCTCCAGGTGGTCTGGTTTCCTCCTCTGCTTCCAGGGTCCCTCCCTTGGGACCCACACGCTCTGTGGAGATATCCCACAGGCACCAGCCCACCAGGCGCCCACTGCCAAGAGCTTGAATGAGCGGGCGGCTGAGGGCCAGCTCCCCTGCGGAAGCAGTTTGGAGCCCAAGATGGCTGGTCCCGTGAGGGCTGGTCCAGGCCAACGCCGAAACAGACCTGAGCCCTCAGCCCGCCTTGCCGCTTTGTTTGGCAGTCCTGCTTCTGAGAGGCGCCTGACTCCCCCGGAGACCTGTGGCCACCCGTCCCCTGCAGCCACATTCCAAGCTGGGCCGGGCTCCAGCCTCCTGTACAGGCCCAGCAAGCGGGACCAGCCGCCCCCGGGATGCCCGGCCCTTGCCGGAAACCACCCCCTCCCCCAGTGCCCTGTGGACACGGGGTCCCGGCGAGGGGAACTCTGCAAAGCTGCCTGAGTCACAGTCACAGGAGGGCCCCCAGGAGGGGCTGACCCACGGCAGGACGGCAGAGGCCAGTCCTCAGGACGACCGTCACACCGTGTTGCAGAAGCCCTCTTCTGGGGTCCCAAGAATCTTGTCTCCTTGAGGAAAGGACAAAGAGAAGTGGCCGTAAATCACGGCTCAGAGCTCATTCCCCAGGGCCGCGCGGGCCCCAGATGTGCAATCGTGGGTAATGAGCTCTCTCTCGGGGGCTGCTCTCCGGGGCTGTCTGACTGCGTGCCAAACACGCTAATTGAGCACCGAGTCAAAGATTTGTGTTAGCGCCTCGGCTCCGAGGCCGTCGCTGCACTCCCAGGATGGGACGGGACCCGCCCTGGCCAAGTGGAGGCTTCCGGAAGGGCTCTTGGCTACCCTCCAGGCCCGGTCCCAGCCCCCTCCGTGGGGGCATCGTGGCAAAGGGGAGGGTCCAGCTGTGCTGGGGCAGCACCTCCCCAGGGCACGGGCAGCGTCCACCCCTCAGGGGCCCCTTCCTGACGATGAGTGTCCAGCAAGGCTTGGCCACGTGGGAGGGGGCTGCCCTCGTCATGGGGCTGTGTGTGCCCCTCCCTGCATGCAGGGCCCACCCTCTCTGGCTTGAACGCCTTGTCCACTCCGTCGTAGGCCCTTGTGACATGCCTGTGGCTTGGGTGAAGGTCGTAGCCGCCTGCCTGCCGTGGGAGGCACAGAGTCCCTAGTCATTCACAGGGTGGCTGAGGCACTCGGCTCAGGGCTGGCCCCGACACGTGGGGCCTGCTTCCAGAAGACAGGACGGTTGGGAGGCGCCACCTGAGGACCAGATGGGGAGGAGCCCAGAGTCCAGAGGAGGGAGTTGGTGTTCTGCTTCCAGGGAAGGAACGTCTATGATGAGAGCCAGTGTGCATTCTCAGGGTTGCTGAGCACTGGGGCTGGGGAGGGCTGGACCCCGGCCAGGAGATTGTCTCAGGCAAGAGCGCTGGGGGCCTGTCCTGTTCCCCCCAGTGATGGGGCATGCAGGGGCCATGGTCTAAGGAAAACCTACTGTTTGCCTTAGACCGGGTGGGTGCCCTGTCCCATAGGGTCCGACAAGTGGGGAACATCCAGGCAGTGGAGAACAGCTCCTCTGACTCTGGGGGATGCATCTGCCATGTGAAGCACCGTGCACCCCCTCCCCCCAGTCTCCTTGTAATGTATGGGGATCTTCAGACCCCCAATGCTGCCTGTTGCCTGGCCATCCTCCTGTCTGGGCAATGGGCTCAGCAGGGCTGGGGAGAGGACTAAGCTGGGCCCAGTGCTCTGGTTTGGCCACATGAGCCTCCGGGGGCTCAGAGGCTGTGTGCAGTGTCCAGGCCCACCGCCCCTCCCTGCCACGGGAGTAGGGGGCACAGACACTCCCCCAGGTGCCTGTGGTGTCAATCTGGGGCTTGGTCTGCAGAGGCCCAGTGAGCAGTCTCCAGTTTATGGCAAAGGACCCGGGAACAGTCGTATCTGATTAAATCACTCTAGGGAAGTTAATCCACCCCACCAGCCAGAGTTCCTCCACTGCCAAGCCATGTGACTTGCTTTGCTTCTCCTGGGAGGACTATACTTGCCCTCCCAATTATCCAGCTTGCCACAAGATTGCTGTGGCCAAGGAAAGGTGAGCAGAAGGGACAACTGTTGGGCGCCTGGGTGGCTCAGTTGGTTAAGCAACTGCCTTCGGCTCAGGTCATGATCCTGGAGTCCCGGGATCGAGTCCCATATCGGGCTCCTTGCTCAGCAGGGGGTCTGCTTCTCCCTCTGATCCTCCCCCTCTCTGTCTCATTCTCTCTCTCAAATAAATAAATAAAATCTTTAAAAAAAAAAAAAAGAAGAAGGGACAACTGTTGACCTAAGCAGCATACTTCAGAGCCCCTGTGTGTCCACCAGTTTTTCTGGCTCTTTCCCTCTGGAAGGAAAATGGCACGTCTTGGGCCCACCCCAGGGCAAGAAGACCCAAGGAGCAGGGCAGGGGACCCTGGGAAACCGACCTCCAGGCTTTGGTGGAGGGGCCGTTTGTTACCCAGCATTACTGAGCAGGGGCTGAGCTGATACATGACCAGAGAGTAACAGACCCCCACAGGAACAGGATGATCTGTGTTTTGGAGTCTCTATTTGTGCCCAGTATTTGGGTAACATTGGAGGGTTCCTCGTGCCTTCCTCACATTGCTCTCCCTGGACACTCAAGACACCGGATGGCAGTCCCTGCCCCCCAGTGGCGGGCACAGCGCAATGGGAAGGGCCAAGGGGGTAGCTGACTCAGGAGCTGTGGACAAGTAGGGGCCGTGGGGGATCCTGGAGGCTCCCTGAGGAGGTGACATGGAGCTGAGCCTTCAGGAAGGTTGGAATTCTGGGAGGTCTCTCCTGCTCCCAAGGAAAGATTTTGCAAACCTAGGGATTACGAGGACAAGCACCCCCCCCCCGCCCCAGTCCTCAGGGGTCTCTGGGAGCCCACCCTGCGGCCAGCCCCTGGTACCCTGGTGTATCCATCCCTGCAGAACACTCCAGGACCTCCCAGACAGAGCAGTGGGCATGGGTCTGGAAACATATCCAGCTGCCCAGGGATCGGAGGCCAGCGCAGAGGGCAGGTCATGGAAGATGTCACGAGAGGAGTTTTGGACCAACCCGTGGAGGCCAGCTGCCTCCTTGTTGCCCAAAGGCAGGTCCCTGAGTCCCTCCATGTGTGACATGCCTGTGACAGCTGGGCATAGCCGGGAGCAGGTGCTGTCTCTCCAGGAGGGTCCTTGAGAATGCCGAAGGCCCCAAAGTGAGACAAACTGAACCCAAATGGAAAGGCCACGCCGCGTGGGGCTGGGCAGCTCCTTCCGCCCCAGGGCAGGTGTGGTGGGGGCAGGGCGGGGGTGGCCAGATCCCATTCTGCGGGGGGCGGGGGGGCTCTGGCCAGTGCCATCTGGAGGACGCAGGCGGCCTGGGGGTGTCCATGTGAGCAGGGCACATGGGGAGGAGGCGCAGGGTGGTGGCAACAGTCCCGCTCCTAGACGCTGCACTGGGGGGCCGCTGGGATTGTCCTCGGCAGCCTGCCCCCGACAGGCCAGAAGAGAGCCCACACCCTGCCTGGGGCTGGGGGCTCAGGGCTCCAGCAGTGGCCGAGGCTGGCCGACTGCAGGGTCTGGGTGAGGCTCCTGCCCATCAGGGGCACCTTTGCTGACCCTGGGTCCGCACAGCATTCTTGACGTCTTCGGTGACAGTCGGCAGCTCACACGCGAAACCCTTGAGGGCCTCGCTGGGGTGAGCAGCTGCAGGTCTCCGGCCCAGCGTGAGGGGCCTTCCCGACCGCGTCACCCCTGTGGGCGCGAGTGGCCACAGCAGGGGTCCGTGGCCTGCCACCATCGCTTCCTTCCTCCCCCGCGGTTCCGTGGGTGTTACTGTTTGTCATCCCGTGCGGCCTGACCCCGAATGACTGCTGCGGGAGCCGCTGGTGGGGGACAGACCGGCCTTTCCTGGTCCTGGTCTGGCTAACGCTTTTCCCAAGGGAAGCACGGGGACACAAAGCAGTCCAATCCCGAGCCAGCAGCGGTCACAGTCAGGGCTCTGGATGATGAAATTACTCCAAATTATGCCTCTTAGGGATTTTAAAAGGAGAATGAAGACAGGGTTTCCACCATTGTTGTGAGTGGGACACGAGGAGTGGAGCACGTCCTGGGGATTCAGGGGAGTCACGGTCCCACTCAGGGCTGTCCCCGAGGCTCTCCCATCTCTGTTTCTGTCGCTGACCCCCGTCCCAATGAGACCCCGCTGCTGCTTGTCTGGTCCTCCAGCTTCTGCAAGAGTTGACGGCGGGTTCCGTTTCATAAATACATTCCAGACCAAAGGAATTACAGACCTTGTCTGCCTCTGGGGGAAATTAAGCAGATTATAAGGTCTATTAAAATTTTATTGGTGCAAGATCTTTTTCCAGTTGGCTTTCAGAAATAATATGAATCTATTAACCACTTATATACCTATGGAAATAAGAAAAATTTGGAAAAGTAAAAACAAAACAAAACCCAAACAGGTCTTCCTTGTGCTGTGAATGTGTCGGCTCTGTGAATTTGTTTTCTCGCTAAATCTGCGTCATGGAAAACAGTGTCCCTGTGATTTGGATTAATGGCCTCGGGTGCTAGGTTACAAGAAAAGAAGACAAAAGTCATCGTAGCGTCCCGATCAAGATGACTCTTCAGACAGATTACACTCACTGAAGAATTTTGGTTTAGAACACGCATCCACCACGAGGCAAACACAGTATTAGCACAACGTTCTGGCTTAGGCGTCTCTAGGGTTACTCTTTTCTTTAACAGCCTAATTATGTGACTTCCTAAACGTCCCCACGAGTCTGACTGTCCTGCGCTGGCCACTTGGCGGAGGCAGACCGTTCCCAGGGGGCCTGGGGGTGGGCACCCCGGCCTCTGCAAGGACAGTTGTTCTTCTTGGGATTCCAGTCTGGACACGCCTAGGAAGATGAGGCCTGGGGCCCCAGTGGCTCATAAGCAGGATGTGAATGGGTGATGAGGGTCAGTGTGTGGCTGCCTCCGTCGTAGGGCCTGGCTGTGCAAGGCCCAGGGCCATTCTTTGGTGCTCAGCCCTGGTCAAGCCTGTCCATTAGAAGCACCCGGAAAGGGCCAGCCAGGAGCGAGCCCTGGACAGCAGCTTCTATAAGAAGGAAGGCAGGACCGGGGACGCCATCATCCACTTGGGAGGCCGTAGGTCAGCTGGTCAGCGTCCAGCTCCTTCTAAGGTGCAGCGAGCTCCGGCCGGCTGGGCAGACACTTCTTGTCAGTGGGTTACCACAGCTGAGCCAGGAGCCAGGAGAAGGTCAGGCCGGCCGGAGAGGCTGTTGGGCGATGTGGGCTTCAGACGCAGGAAGCAAGCGGCTCCAGAGCTTCTCTCTGAGCCCCTCAGGGTCACACTGTTGCCTTGATCCACTGTCCCACGGGGCAGATGGACCGGCGGCGCTCAGAGCTGCTGGATCCCGCAGGGGCTGAGGGCATCGTGGTGCATGCAGGAGAGAAGTGGGTGGTCCCGTGCAGCATTACAGGGGGAAGGCCCCAGCACCGGGCCTCAGGGCAGGAGCTATGCCCGGACATGTCGGTCCCCTTGCTTGGGTGGAGCTGGACCCCATCTCTGGGCCTGTGAGGCCCACATCTTGGGTGCACTTGTTAGAGGACTTATTCCATAGACATGGGTTTCAGTGAGGGCTCCTGGGACAGCTCAAAGGGCCATTTGGGGGCAGTAAGGAATGGGTGGGGAGAAAAGAGGGCTCTGTCCCTGCACCTGGCCCAGTTCTCAGGATGCAGGCTCGAAGTCCACAAGCCTGCCCTCTGGTTTCGTACACTTGGAGGCACCAGCCTTCCCTGGCATTCGGGGACTTGGGAATATGCTGGGGGGCTCAGGTGGGGCTCCCAGAAGCCCCCAGGCTTACCTGGACCCCAGGTTCACCCAAGCTGCGCTGCCCGGGCTGATTCTATCTCTGTCATCCTGGAGACGCTGATGAGAGATCTGCCCTCACTGCCCCATGGAATGCGGCCGAGAGCCTGGGCTCCACGGCCCTGTCTCCTCCAAGATGGGGCTCTGGTCCACCTGTGCTGTTCCCAGGACACACACGCAGGAGTGCCTGGAAGAAGGGGTGGACCCACAGGACTCTCCGGCTGGAGTAGGCGCTCCGAGTGGGGCTGTGAGGTCAAAGGGCAGCACCGTGAGAAATGCCCCGGGCCCGACCACTTTGGGGGGAGGTGGGGGGTAGGTCGGACACTGCTGCCTCACCTGGGGCTCCTCCCCCACCCAGCCCCATGTGGGCCTCTTTCCATTTGGGCCTCTTTCCATTTGGGTTTCCAGCCCCTAAACCTGTGGTTTGTCAGCAAAGCAGCCTCGAACCCCTGCTCCAGGGTCGGGAAGGAGCCCAGAGACCCTGGGCTATTCCACCTACTGCCCCCGAGGCCAGGGCCAGGGCAGGGGGCTGTGGCGCTCCATCCTGCAGCCGGGCATGCTGCCCAGCCCACGGTGCAGCCAGGAGGGTGCGGGGCCCAGGCCAGTCCCGGTGGAAGCCGCTGCCCCTCTCCCCCCACCTGGCCTGGGGACCCTGGCCTCGCGGTGGGAGAGGCACCAATGTTCTGTTTACGGGGAGCTCAGGCCCACCCTGTTGCGCAGGGTCCTGGGCCCTCGTTTCTGCCCTTCGCCTGCTGGCTTTGGCCCTTTCGGGGCTGAGGATGCAGGTGAATGGAGACAGTGCTTCATGCCTGGTCACCTGCCTCCAGCCACGCCTTGCTCAGCCTGCTGGGTCGGGTGCAGGCCTCACCCCAGAAATTTAGAGCATTTCCCTGGGAAATGTGGACCTGACCCTCTGCCTCTGGGGCTCAGTGCCTTTCACCCTGCACCCCAAGGCCCCCACTCCTGAGCCTTTCTCCCCAGGCCCTTCCTGCTTCCACACCTCACTCTCTCCCTACCCACCTGGGGCTCTGCCTCACTGTCCAGCCCCCAGTGTCTAGATGTCCCCCGCCTCCAGCTAGAGCCTCTCCCCATGCATGGATCCCCTCCTGGAGAGGCCAAAGTCCCCCGTGGGGAGAGAGTGGCTCCCCTGGGCCCAGTAGTCCCCTGGAGGCCGGGGGCCTGTCCAGCAGGGTGCTCTCGGCAATGCCTGTCCCGTGCGTCATCCGTTCTCCTCCACCTGACATGTGCACAGAAGGAATCTGCAGTGTTTCAAGAAGTACACATAGCAATAAACAAGAAACGTCCACAGTAGGGTATTTGGTTAACCCCAAGGATGAGGACAGGCCCCTAAGCAGGTCAGAGACCCAGAAACGGCGTGGGGAGGAGGCCCTCCGAGCACCCCTCACCTAGCAGTCCTGCTGCATCTGCTGGGTGGCCCCCAAGCCCCAAGCTCCTCCTGACCCCGCAAAGCAGGTTCCACACTTGCCTGTGCTATCTCGGGGTTGAGTGACCCGGAGCTCCGCGGTTTGGAGAGGACAGGCCAGCCTGACTCCATGCCCTTTGGACCCACCTGCTGGGTGTTCGTTGGGTTGGTTTTTAAAAAAGATTTTATTTATATTAGAGAGAGTGAGCGAGCAGGGGGAGGGGCAGAGGGAGAGAGAATCTCCAGCAGGCTTCCCGCTGAGCATGGAGCCCGACGGGGGACTTAATCCCGCGACCCTGAGATCACAACCTGAGCCGAAACCCGGAGCCGGGCGCTTAACCGACTGAGCGGCCCAGGTGCTCCCAGACCTGCGGCTTTGACCCTTATGAGAGATGAAAGTCACATGTGAGGCCAGAAAATGTGTGAAATATTCATGGGGGGATGGTCATCATGACAAGACCCAGTGGGACATGGGCAGCTGGGAAGGCGGTTTCAGTGTCTACAACAGAAAAAACTAGTGTCTCCTGTCTACTGCAGAAAAGGAACCAAGGAACCTAGGGGAAGGAAAGGGCGTCCGCGGGGGCGCCAGACACGCTAGGAAACCCCACTGACTTCCCTTTGCCCGACCGTCCTTTAGTTCCCGGGAGCCCGCGGCTCAGGCCAGTGGTCCTTCGTGTCCCCCGCCCCCACCTGCCTGAGTGTCCCCAATCACCTCCAGTGTCCCCAGCCCAAAGGACGGGGGCCGCGCGGGGCGCTCCCCATCTCAGGGCACCATGCGAGGGCAGCCGCCTCCATCCCATTATCCCAACACCATCTCCTGGCTCTTGTCACAAAGAATCAAAATCTATAATAAGAAAATCTCAGAGCCCCCCTGTCATTTGGCCCATCAGCTTCGTCCCCCGGCCCTTAGCCAAGCGCGGGGGCATTCATCTCGTCATCTCCCTCCGGCTTCAATGAATTGTGATAAAAATGTCAAACAATTAGATTACGCTGGCCCACAGTGCGGCATGATTGAGTGGCGAGGCAGGGCACGTCCCCTGAATCACCCTGACGCAGGCGACCGCTGCACGGGGTGGCAAATCCCCCCGGGTCCCCCCACCTTTGCAACGGGCATCAGGTCTCAGCAGCCCCGGGCAGGAAACCGAGGCTGGGGCCTGGGGGACAGGGGTGGCGGTGGGAGGGGCGATGCGGAGGGAGGCGGGAACGGGCAGCCCCTGAGGACAAGACCCCAAGAGGCGCGTCAGCAGGTTCTCCCAGGGTCTGCAGATCCCCATGGGCTGCTTCACCCAGAGAGGCCGCCCCAGGGTGCGGGGTCCAGGCCCTGTGCCCCCCACCCTGGGCCGCAAGCCCGGAGGGTCTGCAGCAGCGCCGTTGAGCGCCCGGCGGGCCTGCCCTTCCCCAGAGCAGCCCTGCCGGCTTCTTCCTCTGTTTAAGGGTGAAGACGTGTTGAAAATTGATTTCTGTTGGAAATGGGATAATTAAACTGGTTGTTTCTATCTCCATCATCGTCATAATAAAATGAGGGGACAGCAGGGTTGTGCATGGCATGAAGTAATATTGTCCGTCTTAATGCAAGGGAGCATTAATTGAATACGAATGGCCTTCCTTGAAGTCGCTCGGTTATATTTCAGAGATATGGGATAATGATGCCGGTTAATCATTTTTACAAGATAGAAAATTACTGGCTCCTCTGGGAAGATCATTAAGGAAAACAATTGTTCACAGCAATTGAAAATAGAGTTTTAATTATTTAATATAGAAATTAAACTATTGGCGACTGGTGCTGGATGACGGAACTTAATAGAAATTTATACACAAGCGTCTGTGAACGTTTTAGCTTTATTAACCCACCTAACTTCTTAATCTGGATCCACTGGGGGAGGCCTGCTTCAGCCGTGACTGAATTCACGGCTTGCGCAGGAGGGCCTGGCAGACAGGCGCCCGCTGGGACCCCACACTCGCCGTCCGGGGAACACCTGCTGGGAGCCGCAGGGAGGGACCCAGGAGCCCAGAGCACCTGCACCAGGAGCTATGGGCACCGGCCAGGACGCGCGGAGGCCAGGGTCTCCCGCTCAGCAGAGGTGATGGGGTGTGTGATGGCCACATCACAGAGGATGGACCTTGGGTGTGGCCGGGTGACGCTGTTCCACGGGGATTGAGGCATGAACGTCAAGTGTTGAGCTGGTCACGTGAATGTAACCCCCAAGGGGGTCCTGGCCAGAGTGAGGTGCTGACCCCAGCTGGCCTGGCTCCAGAGCCCACATGACCTGGGCCCCCAGCCCACTCATCCTCAGGCCCACCTCCCCAGGGAAGGGGGGACCCTAGACTGCCTCGCCCCATCCGCAAGGGCCCGCCCTCTATGCCCAGAGGACCCTTGGTCCCGGCACAGTGGGCTTCTATGTGGGCAAGGCCAATGACAAAGGAGGTGGGCTGAGTGCAGGAACGTGGGCAGAGAAATCCAGAAATCCATCAAAACACCATGTGGGCTGGGAGTACTTTTTTCCCTTTGTTTTTATTCTCCATATTTCCTACAATAAAATGTATAGTTTAAAAAAAAAAAAGTCCTTGTTTTAAAAATATGGAAATCACGGGGCACCTGGGTGGCTCAGTTGGTTGAGCGTGGGACTCGGTTTCAGCTCAGGTCATGATCTCGGGGTCCTGAGATCCAGCCCCGCCTCCGGCTCTGTGCTCAGCGGGGAGTTTGCTGGGGATTCTCTCTCCCTCTGCCCCTCCCCCGCCTCTCTAAAATAAATAGGTCTTTAAAAAATATGGAAATCACTATTTTCAAGATATAAATTAATAAAAGAGATGGAACTTTTTAAATGTTGACTGACGAGCAAGCACAGAACAGGTTGGAGTTTGCAAGTTGTTGCAAGTGAGGGGCTGGGCCTGGACACGCGGGGTCTGGGAGAAGTGGGACGGGGGTCGGGCCCTTCCTGGTCCCCTTCAGGCCCCAGCCCCGGGCGGCTAAGGCTGCGGCTCCCGAGTGACCGGCTCAAGGTCAGGAAGCCTGGCTAGAGCCAAGGGCTTCCTCCACTGCCACACGCACGCGGTCACCCGGTGCGGGGAGGGTGGTCTCCCGGAGCCCTGGGGCCCTCACGACATTGAGAACATGCAGATCTGGTCACCCTTCCTCCCAGGCTACCCACCATTCCAATTACATTCTATTATTACCAATAAATTCCAAGTGATCTTTTTTCTCCTTATAGTTTTTAGGGTTACATAAATTCCACCTATGCAATTTTTTCATGCTTGAATATATTCTGGAATGCCACTTCCGTTACAGAAGCTAATTGATAATGTGATTTGTCATGTTGCTGGGGCATAATTCAGAAAGTTATTTCAACGCCTCCGATACACGGACTAGCACTCACGTTTCATATTTCTCACACGAGTAGACACAGTATAAGGTAAAAAAATGTGAGTCTGCACAGATGAAATATTTCCAGAGGCTTTTATTCTTGTTGTTTGGGTGGGTGCCAACAGCTTTCTAGAAGGAAGCTCATATATCCACGGCTGCTCTGATTTGAATTTATTCCTTGATCATTAGTTAGCTCTTTTTTTTTTTTTAACTGGAAGAAGAACGTGTATATGTTTGACAAAAGGAAAAAAATTGAACAAAAAGAAGGGCATCACCACCTTTCGATGTTATCAAAGATGAGCTGCTTTTAAACTTTTTATGTTGGACTAACTGTAGCCCTGCGAGAAGTTGCACAAAGAAAGAGCACTGATGATGCATCCTTCACGCAGCTTCCCGGCAGCGGCATCCGGAACCAGAAGCCGGGGAACCGCTCTGTGCAAGGGTTTCCCACGCGCGATCCCTGGCCTGTGGCCGCGGGGGCTCCCCCTGCACCCCCAGGCCGTGCCCGAGACGCCAGCGTGCTCTCCCTCTCCGGTGCCGTCGTCCTCAGAATTGTGGCAGGAATGACATCATACGGCACGTGACCTTGCTGGTCGCGGCTCCTGCACGCGGCGTCGCGCCCCCGACGCCCGTCCAGGGATCCGGGGTTCGCGGTTCTCCGTGTAGCGTTCCACTGGCACGTGGACCAGGGCTCGTAACACCGTCCCCGGCGAGGGACACTGCTTGTTTCCAGCCCTCGCTCTGATGGAACGGCCGCAGCAGACACGCACAGGCTTCCCTGGGACGCGAGGCTGGGAGCGCAGGGCCCGTCTCATGCTGGTCACAGGCAGAGCTCGTAAGAACCGGTCCAGCCGTCTGCCTGAGGGCCGCGCCGTTTCCCAGCCCCAGCCGTGACGTACGGGGGGCCCAGGTGCTCCCCACGTTCCCTAGCACGCGGTGTTGGCACTGATGCCTACGTTAGGGTTTTAGCAGGCGCGCTGTGGTACCTCCTGGCAGTCCTATTTCGTGCTTTCTTCCTCACTATTTGGCCTGGCCTGTGCTCGACCCAGCAAGTCCAGGAGCGGGTCCGTCCGACCCAGGGCAGGGAGGCTGCGGCGTGGGCTTCCCGCCCACGTCCCAGACACAAGACCAGGATGAAACACCACCATCCACACCCCCTCACGTGTGCCAGGGGAACAAAGCCTCGCGGACGTGTACTGTCTCCCACCCACTTAGCTCCTAGTTCTCACAGCCCAGAGATGACCGGCGGCCGCTTGGCCTGAGGCCTAGCACCCTCTGGCCTGTGGGTGGCTGTCTCTGGCTCCCAGGGGGCCCCAGACCCAGTGCTCAGAGGCCAGAAGTCTCCAGGTGAGGCAGATGTGGCCTCTGTGCGGACACCTCACTGTGCTCGGGGGCCTGGAAAGAGCAGTCCTAGCAGCCCCCAGGGCCAGGGTCCCCCGGCCCAGGGCGCTCTGTGGCCTGACCTCAGCAGATGTCCGAGGGGCTGCTTGCCAGGACCCAGGGCCCGAAGACACTTTGACCCTCCCCGCCCCCAGCCCATGGACTGTCTAACGGCGCTGGCTCCCCCCGCAGAGAGACCTGGAGCTGGCTCTCCCTTGACCCCTGGCCACCAGCCTGGGGGACTCTTGGGACACAGGGTCCTGGCTACTCAGTCCCTCACCATGGTCTCCACGTGGGCCAGGATGGCTTGGGGCCCGGTGGGAGGACGCTTCCTGGGGACGTATCTGTTCTTCCTATGGCCACCCTCAAGTCTGGCTGAGTGTCCAAGTCTGTGGACAGCGGCTTCTCCCAGGGCTTCCCTGGTCCGCTGTGGTGCCCACAGGTGGTGGCGGTACGTCCCACCCTGGGGGCCTCTGAGACCAGGGCGGACTTCCCTCGCACTTCCTGCCTCCAGCAGACAAACCGCGACTCCCCATGGAGCTTCCGGTCGCCTCCTGGGAGCCGGCCTCCCAGGCACATCCCCGGGCCCCGGGGCTGGACTTCCCGCACTCGCTCGCTCACTCGGCAAACACGGCTGAGCCCCACCACGGCACGGCGCTCGACAGAGGGACTCCAGTCCTGCCGCGCACCCGGGGCCACAGACCGCACCGCAGACACGTGATGCAGACACTGGACCTTGTCGTTTACTAAAGCACTTACACCAAAAACGATGGTGTTCCTTGTCCAGGGACCACCGTGGGCCTCCAGGGACCGAGGGCCTCACCCCCAGGGCCAGCCTCTACCCCAAATACAGGCGGCTCCCCCACCACTGGGACCCAAGGGAGTGCACAGGGCAGGGGAGGGTTCTGGGGGTCCAGGCAGCTGTGGGGTCAGCCCCGATGCAGAGCCCCCAGAGGGACTCTCCTCCCCCTGCCCAAGGGTCCCCGTGCGAGCCGGGCAGAGCAGGCCGAGGAGGAAGCACCAGAGCAGATCAGACTCAGGATGGCCCTGGCATGACCCCGAGCAGAACTGGGGTTCAGGGGCAGGGCCCCCGGAGGAGGGGTGCCTACGGGGGGGAGGGCTGGGTGGTGGGTCCTCGGAGGGGCAGTCAAGGTCCTTGCCCCGGGGGGGTCACCCGATGGCCAGGTGTGGCAGCCCGTACAGGACCGAGTTGAGGACGATGGGCAGCCGCTCCTGGTCGCTGAGCTGTGGCGGGAGGGACAACAGTTTGACCCTGGAGGCCCACGGAGGCTCACCTGAGGGAGAGTGAGACCGCGCTCGTGGCCTGCATGGAGCACTGGGGGCAGGGTGCACGGTGGACGACGGTGCAGACACGGCCCCACCGTGGACACGGCCACACATGTACACCACGGACACCGAGGCCCACGGGCGGTGGCACCCAGCCAGGGAGGGACCTCGCCAGGCCCAGGCCGGCCTGTCGCCTCCACACCACACCACTCCCAGCACCGTGGGGCCAGGCGGCTCCTCCTCCTGCCATCAGCCGGCTGCCACCACTGACCGTGGGGTGTCCCTTCCTTCCAAGGCACATCCACACAGAACAACAGAGGCCACACGGGCGCCCCTTCCTCTGTCCCCAAAGCAGCTCGTTAGCAGCTCCTCACACCACTGGCTCTTCTAGGGTCCTCCGCCCTCACGCACCTGCCGGTGCTCCCTCCCTCCCGCACGCACTCAACAGCCTTCACGGTCTGGTAACCGTGTTCTGGGCACTGTGCACCACGTCACTTCTAAATTTTAAGCTCCTTTTGTGGGGTATAGTTTGAAGGTTTCCTGCTCCCGCCCCAGAGAGCACGCCTGGGCTTCCAGAACTTGGGCGCCTTGAGCCCTTCTAACGCCCAGTGTGTTCAGCCCTGAGGATCTCACGGGAGGCTGTGCTCTCCATCGGCACACGCTGAGCCGTGGAAGCGGCCCGGAAATGGCGGGCACCCCAGCCCGGCAGCGCCGCTGGGACGCTGGCTGGGAGGTGGCCCAGTACAGCCTGAGCAGCGGCAGGGACGGGGGACAGCTTCTGTTACCGTGGTTCCTCGGCTCACCAGATCCCATGTTCTGAAGGAGACGGACTGCTCTCCCGATCGGCCTGCCAACTGTCAACAGACCTAGGAAGGAAGCATCCCTCAGACTGGTCAGGGGCACCGCCGGCAGGCTCCTGGGGAGGCCCACAGGGCTGCGGATGGGCCCGGGACACCCGCACCCACTCACTTTCCCACAGGATGCCGGCCCGCAGCGCGTTGTCCTGCAGGATTGTCGGCCACTGGTTTGTCAGGATGCTCCTGACCCCCACCAGACTCAGAAGGATGGCAGTCTTGATGGGCTCCTCCAAGGTCAGCTGGGGCACGCTGCAGGGGATCGAGCTCCAATGGGACAGCCCGAGCCGACCCCAGTCCACAGCCCAAATAGCACCAAGTATTGGGCTGACAGCTCTTCAAGTGCTTGAACCAATGAAGAACACCCTCCCCCCACTCCACCCCCCTGCCCCCCCCATGTGAAATGCCATTTAACAAGACAAGGCATTCCGGAGTGCCACCAAATCCCTCCGGACCACTCCCAGCCTTGCGGGGAAGTCAGGAGGCAGAGCATCCATCGTGAGATGGCAGCCCACACAGGCCCTGGGGTGCATGTGATGTGGGGAGCTCTGAAGCCAGGGCACCCTCCCAGCTGCTGGCCCCCTGGCCCCTGGCCCAGTCCCCACAGGCCTTAGTCTTCCACTGGAGCTCCCCTCCCTCTTCTGCGGCACCCCCCCCACCAGCCTCTTCCAGGGTGGGGTCTGGGGGCAGATGGCTCTGCCCATGGGACGCAGGGGCACTCTGTCCCCCACACTCCCCAGGGAGCGCATCCATCAGTCCTAGGCCCCCCAGGCACCCCCATTCAGTGTGTGGAGGCCAGGCTGCTGGCCCAAGCTGGTGCAGGCACCTCTTGTTCTCTGAGTTCTCCATACGCCGCCACATGCTCTTGTAGGACCGCGTCAGGCCCAGCAGGACCATCATCTGGCACTCTGCAGGACACAAGAGGGGCAGCTCAGCAGCCGCACGCCCAGGAGTGGGAGGCCAGTGCAGGCTGGTGGTGTCACCCAGGGCGTGGGGCAATCAGGGAAATAAATGCAGCCCAATAAGGCCGAGGCTCGGGCTTGACGCCCATAGACCCTTTCCCAAGACCCGCCGGCTGCACCAGCGCACGGGGACACTATCTACTTCCGGAACCCCACACCCTTCCCAGTCTTCTCGTGCAATCGGCTCAGCTCCCAGCATGCCAGACCAACAAGGCAGCCCAGCCTGCCGGGGGCGGTCTCAGGCACATGGCCCCGTGTGTCCGCTGAAACAGCAACACTTGGCCACGGGCATGCCGAGAGCCCCATGTGCACAGGCTTGACTGTGCACTTCCTGGAGTGGTCTGGCTGAGGGCAGGCTCGGGGGGCCGTCCCCAGGGGCAGGCAGAACCTCCAACGGTCGGGAATAGCATAGGGCCCCAGTGGTGTTGTCAGCCCCACACGAGCCTGGTGAGCTTAAGAATGCCTCTGACCTCACGCATCTGAGAAGGCCTTGTTTCTACCTCCTCTAGGGGTAAGGAATGCGCCGGTGACAGGCTTCTGGGGTGGGCTGGACTGTTGCGTGGCCCATCTCCAGGGGCTGGGAAGGAGACCAGTAGCAGGTGATGGTGTGGGGGTGTTCAGGTGCCCTGACCACAGGACACATGTCCACGTTCTTGTTATGCTGTCGTCACTGGGCCATGTGCCTCTTGAGGGTCCCCGAAAAGGCTCTCCTAGCGACTACGCAGTGTGCCAGTCAGCCTCTGCCTCAGGAGAAGGTCACTCAAGGGCAAGCCAGACCGCCCGCTCAGAAGTCCTCAGGGGACGGCCAGACAGAATACAAGGCCTAGAGTGCCCACATTTATGCTAGGAGTCGGGGGGGGGGTTGTGGTCAGTGTGTTCTGGAAATGCCCACCCTAGCCCTCCTGGACTCTGCAGGCCCAGCCCTGGGGGTGACCCTTCCAGCTCCTGCCTCCAGCTGCACCTGTCAGGTCTAGAACTCTGAACTGGGTCTCTGAGAAGTGGAGGAGGGGTACGAGGGCAGGAGGAGGCTTCCCCCAGAGCCCCGCTGTGCTTCCAGAGTCCCTTTCTCAGACAGACGATGACTGATGGCGACGCAAAGGGCCTTGCTCTGTCCCTGTGTGGATCCATCTCATGCACTGGGGTCCTGGCAGAGCGTCGAGCATCTGGGGCCCTGAGGGACTGCCTCACCTCGTAGGTTCATGGCAGCCAACCTTTCCACCAGTATGTGGGACAGGAAGCTCTCCATCCCGTAGAAGAAGAAGCCGCTGCAGCTGCCCAGGAGCTGCTCCCACTCGGCCTGGCTGCAAAGGGAAGGAGGGTGGCCTGGTGGCGGGAGCCAGAGGCCGGCAGCCGGCGTCCCAGGGTGTCCCTGGGGTGCTTTGAAAGCAAAGCCTGTCCTGTGCTCTTCACTCCCCGTCCCACCCCTCTGCTAGGACAGGGCTAATGTACACTCTCCTGATGCCAGCATCAGCCTCCATCCTGCGTTCTATCCACATGGTTCTCCGGAGAAAGGACCTCGGGTCCCTGGAATGAACTCCCATCTCACTGAGCAGTGGCTCTGGAAAGTGCTAGAAGGACACTTCCCTGATGGCCAACCACTCCCAGGTCTCTGAGAGAACCCACAGGGGAGTGTCCCTGCCCCCAGCAGTCCACACCACTCCAGCAGGCCCCGCCCACTGCCCACAGACCCCCACCCACGTGCAACCCTGCACTTCTCCGGAGGCGGGCCCCTCTACAATGCTGCCCCTCCTCCTCTCACAGGCCCCGCCCACTCACAGCCCCGCCTTCTCTCTCGCAGCCCCGCCCCACGGGCCCCGTCCTTCACTCGAAGCCCCGCCCCACGGCCCCCCCTCTCCCTCGCAGCCCCGCCCACGGGCCCCGCCCTTCTTTCGCGCAGCCCTGCTCTCCCGCAGCCCCGCCCCTCTCCAGCAGGTTCTCCTCCTACAATCCCCCCCAAGTCCCAGAGCCAGGGGCACGCCCTGCACTGGGCAAAAACACACTCCCGCGTGCCAGGTCCTCGTCTGTAAAGTGGGGATGAGGACAATGACGCCACCATGCAGGCACCATGAGGGCCAAGGAGCCCACTGTGTGATGAAGAAAGGCCAGACACCAGGAGCCTCTGGGGGTGGGGGTGGCAGGGGGTTTGACAGGACAGAATGCGGGGTCAGGGTTGGGGGGGCCTGAGGGAAAGAGGGAGGAGAGAGGGACAAGGGGGAGACGGAGGACAGCAGTCCCTCCCACCGTGTGTGGGGCACCCCCAGCTGGCTCACATCAACCTGCTGGCTGCAGGACAGTGTCCCCAGAACCCCGACACCAACCTGGGGAAGTGCTTATTTCCCAGATGTCCCACCCAGAGAGCAGTGAACGTGTCTCGGAATCTTTCCAAAATTTCCCGGGTGACGAAGACAGGAGTCAGCCTTTCTGCAACAGGAAATGAATGGAGCTTGTCTCAGATGTGGGACACTGAGGGAGATGGGCAGCAGGCAGTCCCCTGGCGCGGCCCCTGGCGCTGCCCCTCGTGTAGAGACACAGGACGTGGTGGAGTCAACGTTTACTGCGTGTGGAAATGTCAGTGCTCCTTCCCGCCCTCCTTTGTAAAGAGATTTTACTCTTGATCTTAGCCAAAGGCCGAGAAGTGATGTAAAACCAATTTAGCAAAAGAAGAGCCTGCAAGAATTAGACACTTAGAGCTGCCCTGGGCGGCAGGAAGTCCCGTTTGGGGCTCTGAGAAGGGGGGCAGCGGACCTCACTTCAGGGGTTCACTTTTCCTACAGCTATGGTCCCGACTTGGCTGTGATGGCCACGGCCGCAGGACCCCACTCCCCCTGTGGTCAGTGTGATGGGAGGCAGCCGAGGGTGGAGCCCAGAGGGTGGTGTATGTTGAGTGTGTGCACGTGTGCGCACGTCAGGGGCCCATGGGAGGCACTCACCTATGCCCTGGGCCTCCCCGTAGGGGTCCACGATGACTAGCTCTGGGTTAAGGAGAAACAGCGCTTGCGCCTGGGTGTCCCAGACGGCGGGGCCGGTAAAGGATACACTTGAAGTTGTCGGCGTCGACTACAATGCAGTCAGGGGGGATGAGCCGGGGCGGAGCGTCCTGCACCAGAGACAAGGGTTGTTGGGGGGTCCTGGTCCTGCAGGGGGGGCACCCAGCCTCCCCAGGCCCATCTGCCCACCTTCCGTCCCTTCTTCGCTGGACTCCTCTTCTTGCCTCTGCCCTCCTTCTTCACGGTCCCCTCGGCTGCGGACAACAAAAGAAGGTGGTGTTTGGGGCTAGAAGAGTTGGTGGCACACAGCATTATGAACACAATAAATGTCCCTGAACTGTTCACTTTAAAATGGTTATTTTTCACCTTAATTAAAAAAAAAAAAAAAGTGAGAACAACTGACTTTAAGTTTTGTAAAGGTGAAAGAGCTGTAGTTTCTGAAATGTAAAGACTTGCAGGGCTGGGGAAAACCCGAGGCGGGAGTCCTCAAGAAAGGAACCATCACCAGAGGCCCTGCTGCCTACCCAGCTGACCATTCACACACCATGCCGGGCACCCACCAGTGTGCCCGCGGTGTGGCCCGGCTGGTGCCTCTGCCTCCTGCACAAGGATTTACACTTCTCTGTTCTAGTGGCTTGCAGATTCTTTTGGAGGGTCCAAAAATAATGACAGTTCACTTCCTCCCTTCTGCCCTCATGCCTCTCACTTCTGCGCGTCTACCCGCATTGCAGCTCCCGCAGAGAAGGGACGGAGGTGCGGCCGAGGCTCCTGCTGTGTCCTGACAGCGCGCTGCCCGGGGTGTGCCGTCAGGAAGGAGGCTTGCTCTAGGTCTGGATGGAGCCTCCACCAGGGTGAGGTATGTCCACTCTGTCCCGGTTTGCTAAGAATTTCCAGTATGAACGCACACATTTTATCAAATGCTCTTTTCCTGCAGCAATTGAGATGCTTGTAACTTCGTTTTCCTTTAATCCAATATAATGACACTTGCAAATTTTTGAGGTCAGACTGGGTGATGCAAGTTCTATTTTTCTTTCTCGTGCTGGTCTTGGCAGTTTGGGTGTCAGGGGCCGACAGAAGGCTAGGATGGGTTGGCCCCTTTTCCCTACTCCAGGGAGATCTGTTAAGACTGATGTGAACTGTTTCCGGAAAGTCTGGTAGATCTCAAAGGAGTAAAGCTGTTCATCTCCTTTCCTTGCTGGTTCTGAGACTGTTGGGGGTTTTCCTTCTTGAGTCTGTGAGCTGTTTTTCCCCAGGACTTGGTCTGCTTTGCCTAAGGGTTTGGATATACTGTTGTTAGGTCTCTTAGGATCTTTTAAATCTCTGATGCATCTTTAGAGTTTGAGTCTCTTTTCATTCCCAGCTTTGTGTATTTGTGCACCATCCGCCTTTTTTCTTGATCATTCTTACCAGAATGTGTCTATTTTATGAGTTAAAAAAAAAAAAAATTATTTCCAGGGCACCTGGGTGGCTCAGTCGGTTAAGCGTCTGCCTTCGGCTCAGGTCATGATCCCAGGGTCCTGGGATCGAGCCCCGCGTCGGGCTCCCTGCTCGGCCGGGAAGCCTGTTTCTCCCTCTGCCGCTCCCCCTGCTTGTGTGCACTCGCTCTCTCTCTGTCAAATAAACAACATCTTTAAAAAAAATTTGTTTTGCTTTCTATTTTGTTGATGTCTGCTCACGTGTTTATTGTACCCTTTCCTCTGCTTTGAGTTTTTTTTTCTTTTGCTGTTCTTGCTCTAACTTCATAAATTTGATGCTTAGCTTGTACACTTCCAACCTTTTCCTTTTCTGATATGAACATCCAAAGCTGTGAGACCCTTCCAGACCCTGCGGCCATAGCACTCCACCAGCCTTGGACTTCCTGCCATCCTTTCTCCTGAGGCCCGGGAGATACGCAGAAGTGTGTTTTTAAATTTGAAATGAATGGGATTTAAGAAATCCTCCTTTGGGTAGCGGCTTCTGAGCTGATCATGCCGTGGTGTTGGCCAAGGTGGTCGTCACTCCAGGTGTTGTTCCTGGGGAGAACGTCCCCAGTTGTTGTACGGCTCCGGGTCTGTCCACGGCGCGGCTCAGACTCTGCTTTTCCTCTGTTTGTCTGACCTGCCGGACGTGGGGCGTGCGTGATCTACCACTGCGGGACGGGTCCCCCCGTCTTGCCCTAGTTTTTGACTGCTCGTTGCTTCACATAGTTTGAGGTGATTTTATCCTGCTGACAAACCGACTGTTACCACCATGGAATGACCCCAGCCCTGACGGTGCTTACGGCCGTCAGGTCTGTTCCGCGAGACAATGGGTCACTCCATCTGTCTGTCCGTTCTCTGGCCTGCTGTCAAACCCATGTCCCCGGCTTCGGCGTGCCTCGTCATCCACGCTGTCACGGAGTCGACCGGTGTGGCCCACTTATTTATTTATGTTTTAGTTTATGACCCACATGGACTAATCTCCACCACTTTGCCTTTTGATTTTTATTTGTTCCGTTCACTGGCTGCTAACAGCTTGGGTGAGGTGTTCGGATCATTTGCTTTTCTTGTTCGTGTCCTTCTGTTAATCTGGAGTTAATACACCGATTCTCTGCTTTTGGTGGTTCTCCTTAAAGATTTACCAGGAACATTTCACCCGCAAACGTGCATGCAGCCGGAGCAGCTCACAGCCCCGACAACACCCCCTCTGGGTGTGCGGGACCCTGGGGGTCAGCACTCAGTAACGCGTGGAGAGACTGAACTCACACCTCGCAGGTATTTTTGTTAGAGTTTGGGTGCGTTTTCTCTTGCTGCTGTAACAAATCACCACACACATTTAGTATCTCACAGACCTGGAGGTCGGGGTCGAACGCGTCCCACTGGGCTAAAACCAAGGTGTGTGCAGGGCTCTTTCCTCCTGGGGAGAGTCGGTTCCGGCCTTCTCCAGCCTCCGGTGGCCTCAGCTCCAGGGCCTCCCCATCTTCAGAGGCGGCAGCATGGCCTCTTCCCATGTCTCTGTGACCCTCCTGCCTCCGTCTTAGGAGGAGCTCGGTGCTGCCATCGGGCCTCCCGGCTCATCCGGGACACCCTCCCGTGTCGGGACGGTCACCGGGTCACACTCCCAGATCCTGGGGAGCAGGGTGTGCATGCGTCTGGGCCGCCACTCCTCCTGCCACCCAGGGTGGCTCTTCTCTGCCGCCCCCGCCACGGCAACACGGGCCACGCGGAGCCGAGGAGAAAGGACCCTCCCGTAAATGGTGCCCCCGAGGGGAAGAAACGGAACCGCACCGTACGCTGCGGGTCAGGAGGGTGAATACCACGTAAAAGGCAGGAAAGAAAAACAGATGTATTTACGGGATATCATGGGAGAATAGCTTCATGATTGTGACGTAAGAAAACAAGTTTTAAAAAAAGACCCCAAAGCACAAGCGATTAAGCAAAAGATTGATAGATTGGACTATATTAAAATATTGTGTTCAAACGGCACCATTTAGGCGAGTGAATGGACAAGCTCCAGAGCGGGAGGAGGCATCTGTCGTAAATAATAAGAAAATCCATATGCAAACCTATGGAAACCCCACAAAACGAAAAGAACAAAAACCAGATAACCCGGCAAAACTTGGCCCTAGACGTGGACACAAGTGAGTCCATGGCGTGGCCGGCGGGGGGGCGGCGTATTCTCTGTCCTGTTATTTGAGGGGGTCTTGGACATGGCGAGCTCGTCCACAAAGGACCCTCCCTCCTCACCGTCCGCACAGGAGAGGCAAATACCCCTGCTGTCGGTCTCCACCGGCCCCATCTGCTCTTCGTCCCACTTTCCCTCTTTTTCTGCCTTTTGTGCATTCTCGTGTATTTTGTGCTCCCCTTCATCTTCTCCGTCGGTGTGCAGGCTGCAGCCCTCGGACTTTCTGCGGTGACATAAGGATGCGTGGTCTCCATTGGGAAGTCGGGGTCACTCCGGGCCTCACTTCTGGGTGTTCCGTGGTGGCTGCCGAAACACTGCTGGGGTTCTCATCACTCTGAACACCCGCCCTGGAGTCTCCTCTCCGCTTCCTGTGTCTGGGACTTATGGAAACTTCTGGACACATGGGATTATGGTTTTCGTCAGATCTGGGGTGGGGGGACACTGGCCATTATTAATTCCTGTATTCCTTCTCTGGGCTCATGGCCCGTCCTCCATGGGGTCGGCCCCATTCTCGGGGACCAGGTTCCGCACGGCCTGCCCTCCAGTGTCCGAGACCCACCACTCCATCTATTTCGGGTTTTCACTTGTTTCTGTTAGAAGGGCAATTTGGTCCTTCTTACCTTCTCCTGGATGGAAGCCAAAATCCAAACTATTTGTTTTTAGTTGAACACATTTATTGAAGTGCAGCAAAGAGCACAGAGCACAAGTCTCCAGCCTGGACAGGTTCACATGCTGGGCACATGGGCGCGAGCAGCCCCCAGGACAGGACAGGGTCAGCCCGAGTCCCCAGCTGCCCCCAGGCCTGAGTGCCATCCGTCCTCCCGGTCCCCTCCCTCCCTGCCCCTCACCACCTAGGAAATGAGTAGCCATGTCGTTGGTCACCACCCATCCCCGGTTTGTGGGCCAAGAACAATGTTTAATTTCTCCTTCAGTGGACCTTTAGCACCTCTCAGACACTGGGCGCAGAGTAGGTGCTCTGTGACTATGAACGGATGAGGGCCTGGAAGAAAGCATGCACATCTGATAGGAAGCGTCCGACAGGAGTCCGCGGGAGGCACTTTAGACGGGCCCGGCTGCAGGGTCAGCAGAGTGTGGCCATGGGCGCTCTTACCTGTCTCCTCTTCGTGGAGGCGATGGCATAACATCTGCAGGGAGAACTCCCGGGACACAGAGGAGACCACGGCCTCCTCAAACACAGAGAGGCCTTCCAGCGGCAGCTCCAGAAGATCCTTGTCCACAATGAGGATGGTGTTGTCTGCAGCCTCGAGCTGAACTGCGGACAGGGGACACCAGCTACGAAGGCAGAGGGAGACGCGCCCCCGCGGGCGGGCAAACCCCTGGGGCGGGCCTGCTGGTCCGGGTCTGTACGTCCTTGTGGACGTCGTTCGACCGCACACAGACGAAGAAGTCTGAGCTGGGCTCAGCGCGTGAGGAGTGGGGCCCGGGGCGCGCCCGGGCTCTCTGGGGGATGGACACTGGTTCTGGTGGCACGGCTAAGTCACAGCTCAGACCCGGGTGGGGCCCAGGTCACAGGGTCGTCGGGTCCTCCCTGGTTCGAGGACCTGCCCCCACATGGGCAGCCAATTCCTGGGGCAGGTCCAGGAATGCCATGAGTCCTTCTAAGCACGGAACCCCCTTTCGAAGGATGAAGATGTGCGCTAAAGGATTTGCACCCCTGCGATGTGGCAGCTTCTCCAAGTGACCACGGAGCCCTCGGAGAAGCTGCCGGACCTGCCTGGCTCGTGAGAAAACCTGCTCTTTGTGACAGGTGTGAAGGGGACGAAGGGCGAGGCCACGAGACACCTGAACTGAATTAACTATATGTACAAAGTAAAAACAAATCACTTAAAAGTGAGCAAAGGCCTTAATCTGGGGAATTTTTAGGGCAGAATCTCAGTTCACAGAAGTGACCTCAGGTGGGCAAGCTCTGGCCCCTCACCCTAAGGGCGGCCCCGGGCAGCCGCGGGCACTGGCACGTGAGCCGGAGTGACCACGTCTAGGGCGAGGTGTTGGCCCGAGGGCACCGCCAGGCACTTTTGGAAATCAAAGCACCCTTGGATAGAGCAGCCCCTCCTTTCCCTTCTATTGAGTAATTCTGTGGGGGCGACAGAAAAGGCGCGCGATGAAAATGCCTTTGAGGAAAACGATTTACAAAGCCGCAGGCGCCGGGTGGGAGGCAGAAGCCCCCGGACGTGCCACGCCCCTGGCCACTTGGGGGGTGTGCGTGACGGAGCCAGCACGTGTCCCACACGTGTAAGCACAGCGAGTGAGAACCAGACGGTCCGTCCTGGTGGCACAGAGGTGACCGGGAAGCCCCCGCTCAGGCGCCGGGGCCCTCTCCCCCGCGGCGGCTGCACCCGGCACATCCACCCTTCCTGCAGGAGATCGGCAGATCACTGACGCAGAAGCTCGTCTGCCCCTCGTGTCGCCTGGGGCACACGCAGCCTGCCAGCTTTCCCAGGAAGGGCGGGCGTGCGGGGGTCTGTGGTGTGGCTGGTAGCAGTGCCAAGCCCCCACCCAGGGCGCTGGCGCGGGGCTGCGCACACAACCTTCTGGGGACCTTCCCACCTCCCTGGGAGGCCCTCTGGGGGCGCCTGTTCCCGCCCCGCCGGCGCTCTTGGGTGAATCCCAGCCCAAGTTCTCCCGCAGAAGCTCCCGTCAGGCCCCCACTCACCATGGGGCGGGGACACTTTCCTTTCCTTGTCTTTGCCCTTTGATTTCCCGGAATCCGCAGCAGGCGTGGGAATCTGTGTTCTGGAAGTCAAAGGCATGTCCAGGTTCTTAAAAACACGTGAACATCACATGTACTAAGAATGGGAGGAACATCAGGGCAGTGAGCCCCACGAGGCACGTTCCATAACTCACTCCTGGGTACCCGTCTCCCTGTACTGGGGGCCAGGGATCAGAGCACTCACAGAAGCAGAAGGGACTCAGGACTGTCTCTGACCTACGGGCAAACCTCAAACGTACCGCTCACTCAACTGCCCAAGCCCTCTGCCTTCTTCTCTACCGAGCATAAATCACAGGGGCTCAGGACTGGGCCGCGCTCCCCACTCCCACCCTGCACCAGCAACAGAAGGGACCTGAGTGGCTGGGACACGCCCCCAGAGAAGATTTTCAGCAGCCCTAGGGCTTATTCCCTACAGTAGATGGTCCTGAGTCAGGCATTGTGGATGTGAATTCAGCATGGCCTGATTCAGCACAGAGCAAAGCTCATCAACTTCACAGCATCAGAGACTCGGACTTCCATGTGGGAACAGCATTCCCCCACCCCACAGCCGGCTCATTCTGGGATTCGGGGAGGCAGCAGAGCTGGCCACAGGCTGAGCCCCCCACCCTGTCCGCCCTGGCTCCCGGGTATCCTATTCCTGGCTGCTCTCAGCATTTTGGGGCACTGCTGGGGACGGAGACATGGTGACCCTCCTGTCTGTCCCGAGGAGAGTGCCAACTTTGCGCCCGAAACCCACCCCCGCCGGGATGTAGCCAGCCCCTCCCTCGCCCTCTGTGGCCTCTGCCCTCAGGGCTGGCAGCTGTCAGCCCACGGCAGGTACCTGGCCGCAGGGCTGCTGAGCACTGGGAACAGTGGCCTCAGGTACTCCTCCATGGATGCCAGGACATCACTGAATCTCTGCAGAGAGTGTCCTTCCCTTTCAAGGTGCACACTTTCCAATTCCTGTCTCAACCCAAACATCAGCCCGTGATTAGAAGTGTCTAAGGGTGGGGACCTCATAAAATCCCAACCCTATTAAAGCAAAGAGTGGGAAGGACCCTGCAGGGCCCTCGAACATGCCCTTCCCAAAAAAAGCCTGGCGGCCAGGGGCCCAGTCGGCTGCAGAACAGGGCTCCCTGCACCCGCCTACCCCAGGACCAGGGCCCACCAGATCCCCCTGCAGGCAGTGCTCCTTGCCGCATCCGCCCGCCCCGTCCTCCGAGAGGTCACCCTGGCATCCCGGCCCCACAGGGTCTCTGCTGACATCAAGAGGCAGCCGCACCAGACTCGCTCAGGGATTCAGAGAACTGGCTGCCCTGTGGGGACCCCGACCTGAGTGTCCAGCAGTGCCTGGGGTCTGGATGGCCAGTGCCATTCACCTGGCCCTGCCTGCCCCACCTTGCTGCAGCCGGGCCAGGGTCTTGGTCCCCTGCATGGCGGTGGCAGCAGCCCTGGGAGCTGGGCTTATGGGTCTTACCGTGCCTGAGCTCAGGGCCGGGTCCTCATTGTGCACCACAGCCTGGGTCAGCTCCCGGAACTGCTGGGCACTGGCCAACAGGCAGGAGAAGGTGTCCGGGCTCACGGCCAACCGTGCTACCTTGCAGGAGCCTGTGGAGACCGACACCCCTGCTGTCCCCACCCCACGGCCTCACAGACCACCCTCTGGGCCGAGGACAGAGTGGGGGGTGTGCATGAACGCCGGGAGTGGGTAATAGTGAGCAAACTGCGGGCACAGGGTTTCTCCACGTGAGAAGAAGTTCCTGGCTATGGACACAGCTCGCTCGTAGGCACTCACAGTAGCTGTCAAAAGTGGGGACACAGATGGATGTCTCCGTTCCACAGCCCTCCTTCATTTTAAATGAAACGCTAAGTGGAGTTATATGCCAGAGACGTTAAGGAAGAAAGTGGGAATGTAGTGTTTTTTGGGAGAAGAAATTCTGGAGGAGGGAGGGGGTGGCTGGTCCATCTCGGGGCCGCTGGTGGTCCAGGAAACACCCCTGTCTCCTTCCCTGTCTCTCACGGGCTCAACAAACCCCACTGGGCAAGCACATGGAGGGCTGGGTCGCCAAGCCCCCCAGGGATGCGTCATGGCCCCCGCCTGTGGCAGCCCTGCACGGTGAGTGCCCTACAACGTGGGGGAGGCCCGATGAACACCTTCCGCGGCAGAACTCACCTCCCACTTGGAGCACCTTCCCTTTGGCCGCGGGGATGGACGTGGGTCTCTTATAGGCTGTGCAGTACAGATGGGCCCTGTTGGCAGGACACAGGGCAGGGTCGAAGCCCAGCTCGTGGGGTCCCGAGTCAGTGAACCACATACACCCCAGCAGGAGCCCCCTCCCCATGAATGCCGTGGCCAAGTCAAGACCCAGAATTGAAACAGGCCCATCTGGGCACAGGCGAGGGTTCTGCTCCGTGGTGAGGGAGGCCTTCAGCAGACGCACAGGTCCCATGCTGCAGACAGCAGGTGGATCGGGGTCCCCAGGGGTCCCAGCCTGCCTCTCCCAGGGGGTTGCTGCCCCACCCCATCTCAGCTGGGAGCCTCTGCCAGTCCGTGTTGGTCCAGCCACGGCCTTCGGTCCATAACATGCCCTCCATCGTCACAGCCCGGGTGCTGTGTTCACGCCGCCGGGAGACTTCTTAACAGGGCCGGGGCCGGCCCCAGAACAGGAATAGGAAGGCTTTACCTGTCCGGCGAGTGCTGCAGGATGAGGATCCGAAAGGTAGGCGGGATTTCATTCAGGAGGTTAAAATGCTGCTCAGTGACCCTTAAATTTTGCCAAGCCTGTGTGTGATAAACAGGAATCAACCGACCGTGCACGATGCAGGCCCAGTCGCTGAGATGTCTGCTAGGCTTTGTGCGGGGCCTCAGGCCAGGTGCCCCGCGGCCGGGCTGGGGCGCGACCCCTGCAGGACTCGCGGCCGCCACAAGGGGGCAGAGGGCGCACGCGGAATCCACCGGGATCCACCGAGCTTCCACCCCCGGCCTCCGTCACAAACCTGACCCGCCTGACGCGAGCAAGCCTAAGAACCCAAACAAGTAACCAACGGAAGATCCTCCAGCAACCTAGTGTCTTCCCTCCGTCCTCCTCCCGGTCCCCTGAACGCCACGCGTGTGGACAGGCGCGCGCGCCCCTGCCCTCCCGTGCGCCCCCCGCGCCCCTGCCCCGCTGCGCGCCCCGCCGGCCCGGCCCCGCTCCTCCCACCCGCGCCCCGGCTCCGCGCCCTCCTGGATGAGCACGACAGCCCACAAGCACACGTCCCCACTTGCTGATGAAACCAGCTTCGCGTTTGCAAGCGCCGACTGGGGTCCGCACTGGCGTCCCCGTGTGCGGGTGGAGCAGAGAGAAGGCAGAAAATGCTCCGCGGGCCGCGCCCACCTGCCCGGATGGGAAGCCGGAGCGTCGCAGGCGCGGAGTCCCGCACCGCCTGGGCGCGCCCCCAGCCTGTGTCCCCTCCGGGCAGCGCCCGCCCGCTTTGGCCGAAGCTGCAGGACGGGCCTCCAGGCACGTGTTCCCTGGGGACCGGGGAGCATCTCTGCTCAGCGCAGGCCGCCCGCCGTGCTTCCAGAAAGGCTCCTCCATCGATGCGGCCCGGCTGGCTCCATTGCAGATGTTCAGGTGGGGGTCTAGTAGTGACTGAATGCAGTTTTAATTTTTGCAATTCCCTGAAAACGAATGAAGTTGGGTGCCATTAAAAACGTCTATGGACCATTTGGGTATCTTTTGTGGCATTCCAGTCTTGTAGTTTTTCTTCTGTGGGAGCGTCTGTCCTTTTCTCATTGAAGGGAGCACAGAATGCGTGCTCTGAGGGTCTCCTCTGGGGCTTGCTTTTTAGGTTTTTATTTTAACTCCAGTAGAGTTAACACAGTGTAATATTAGTTTCAGGTGTACATCATAGTGATTCAACACTTGCGTACATCACCTGGTGCTCAGCACAAGTGCATACCTTCATCCCCTATCCCGCCTCCTCCCACCTCCCCTCTGGTGACCATCAGCGTGTTCTCTAGAGTTAACAGCCTGTTTCCTGGCTTGTCTTTTTCCCTTTGCTCATTTTGTTTCTTAAATTCCACATAAGTGCAATCATATGGTATTTGCCCTTCTCTGACTTACTTCACTTAGCATAATACTTTTTAGCTGTATCCACATCATTGCAAATGGCAAGATCTCATCCTTTCTGATGGCTGAATAATATTCCATTGTATATATAGACCACATTTTCTTTATCCATTCATCAGTCCATGGGCACTTGGGCAGCTTCCATAGCTTGTCTATTGTAAATAATGCTGCTAATAAACACTGGGGTTCATGTATCCCTTTGAATTGGTGTTTTTGTATTTCTTGGGTAAATACCCAGTAGTGCAATTGCTGGGTCATAGGGTAGCTCTATTTTCAACTTTTTGAGGAACCTCCATACTGTTCTCCAGAGTGGCTGCACCAGCTTGCATTCCCACCAACAGTGTAAGAGGGTTCCCCTTTCTCCACATCCTCACCAATTGGGCCTGGGATTTTCTTTGTGGGGATGTTTTTAATAAAAGATTTGATTTCTTTAACAGATAATAAATCATTCTGATTTTCTATTCTGTCAGCTTTGATAGGTTGTATTTTTTGAGAAATTTCTCTATTCCATCCAGATTGCCAAACTTTACCAGAGCACAGTCGTACAGAATATTCCCTTATTGGCTTTTTGAAGTCTGAAGGATCTCCATGATGTCTTTTTATTGCTGATAGTGGAATTTGGGGCTTTCTTTCTTTCTTTTTTTTCCTTTTCGAGTCTTCCTAAATGTTCATCAATTTTATTAGTTTTCTCTTTGGAACCCTTCTACCACTGTTGGTTTCCTCTACCATATATTTGTTTTAATTCCATTGCTTCTGTCGTGTTTCTTATTTGTTACCTTCTATTTTTCTTAGAGGTGTTTTTATTCTAGCTTCTAGAAGTCAAAACCTAAATTACTGTTTTTAAGATTTTCTCCCTGTATTCAAGGCTGTATTTTTCCTTAAGCCCTGCTTTAGACAAGTCTCATAGGTTTTGATATATGACATTTTCATTCTCCAAGTCAGTTTAAAATATTTTCTAAATTTCATTGTGAATTCTCCTTTGACTAATTGATGATGGTAAGTATATTGTTTAATTTCAGATTAATTGTATCTTTCAGTTATTGGTTGCTAATTTAATTGTACTATGGCTGGACAACAAAGGGAATGATTTCCCTTGGTTGGAGAGTCTTGAGGTTTGCTATGGCCCGGCACCAGTCCATCCTGGCGCACGCTCCCTGCACACTTGGAAAGAAGAGAACCCAGTCATGGTCGGTGCTGCGCTCTGTGAACGTCTCTGTGAACGTCCGCGCAGACCTACACACGAACAGCTTTCCTACACACCCCTGTGTGCTTACTTCCATGGGAAGCCGAGCCGGCAGTGGGTCTCCCACCGGATGCAGGCCTGTCCAGTGCTGCTGTTATTCCTGTCACTTCTGTTTCGTGCATTTGAAGCTACATCATTGTACGTACAGACCGAGGATGCTGATTCCCTGTCGACTGATCCCCGGGTCACCTGGCTTTCATCCGATGAGTATCTTCATGACTTAGATACTGTTTCTCATCTTTTCCATCCAACATTTCTGTGTCCTTATATGTGAAGCAGGTCCCATTTAAGCGGCATGTGATTGGATTTTGTTGTTCTTGTCAACCAATCTGACAATTTTAAGTCTTTGACTTGTAGGGTTTGGTCGACTTACATTTATTGTAATTATATATATATTTGGGTTTTGAAATACAATTGCCCTGCCTTTTTCCTACTGGGAACATATGTTTTTATATTCTCTCTCCTCACTCTTTTTGCCTGTCTTTGGGATAATAAAATACTATTATTTGAATTTTTTCTTTTTATTAACTTAGTTACACATTAATTTAGTGGTTACCCTAGGGACCATGACATTCACCTTTGGCTTATTATAATCTAATAAAAATGTAATTTTACCCTTCCCTAGTAGTGACAGAAGCTCTGCATTGTAAACTCTGTTTAATCTTTCCTGCTTTTTGCATCATTGTCTTTCATTTTACTTCCACAAAATAAGCTCAGCTCCACAAGATGTTAAAATTACTGTTTTACACACTTAGAATTTATTTCCTTGGATGTAAATATTTGCCTCTGTGGGATTCTTGGTTCTCTTGTGCATTCTGGTGTTTCTGTCTGGCCGGCCCTCCTAGCTTCTTGTGCTGCAGGCCACCTGGCGGCCCACTCCCTCGGTTTCTGTGCGTCCATGCGTGTCTGTGCTCTGCGGTGGGCAGTGGTCTCCCGGCCGGCTCGCAGGCGCCCGTGGCTCCTTGCTGGCGGCCCTCGGGGTTTCTGACCTGGGCAGCGGCGGCTCGGTGCTCGTGGATGCACTGCGGCTTTCTTGTGTTCCTCCTGAGTGGGGATGCCGGCACTCCTGAGCCTGGGGGCTCGTGAGTTTGGGGAGACCGTAAGCCATTGTGTCACTATTGTCTCAGCTCATCCCTGCTTCCCTCTCCAGCGGGGCGATCTTCTGCTAGTCCGCCTTCCCCGTGCCGTGCTCGCGCTCCCTGAGAAGACCTCACGTGGCGTCTTGCTGGAGCTGGTGTCCTTGAGGCCCCTTCCTCCCAGGATGGTCCTTATTTCCCAGGTGCCATGAGAACCACAAGGAGTTTCAGGCAAACTCCCTGCAGCCCAGGATGCAGCTGCAGTCCCCAGGTGGGTCGTCCCAGCCTGCTGCGAGTCCCAGCAGGTCAGCACTGACACGGGGCGGGGGGCAGTCGGGGACAGCTCGCTGCGGACAGCTTCCCCTCTCAGGAGCTGTAGCTCAGCCTGCCTCTCCTGTCCACAGCAGAGGCCTAAGGACAGCAGTTTCTGCTCATCACCAGGCTCCTGCTGTGGCTGCTGGGGTGCCTGGCTGTGGTCCGTGCCCCACCCCCAAGTGCAGCCGACCCCCGAGTCTGTGACTGGTCTGTGCACCTGACCCAGTCACTGCAGGTCTTCCGCAAGGATCCCTGAGACAGCAGGAGGAGGAGCCCTCACAGCACTCCAGATGGAGTTGGCCGCCACGGACCCGCCCCGCCCCGGACCCGCCCACCACGGACCCTCCCGGCCACGGACCCGCCCGCCACAGACCCGCCCGCCACGGACCCGCCCCGCCACCGACCCAGCCCGCCACAGACCCGCATCGCCATGGACCAAGCCCCTGCACCCCCACATCCAGCCCCATCCTCAGCACTGCACGTGCATCACCGTATTTGGTCCCTCAAGGTTCCTCTGAGGTGGGTTACGCCCACCCCAGCCTCAGTGGACACACATGGACGTGTCCTCCAAGGGTCGGCGCCTGGGCTGTGCTGCTTCTCCGGGTGGACTGGCCCGCTCCTCCCTGCACCAGTGACGGCCTGCACTGCTCTTCAGGAGAAGGCGAGACTTTCCAGCACCGGCGCTCAGTGGGGGATGATTCTGGGGACCTTTGTGGTTGTCGCAGCTGGGGCAGGGGCTGCCAGCATCTGGTGAGCACCCATGGTGCACAGGACGCCCCACCACAAACAACGACCCAGCCCCAAGCATCAGAGGAGAAGAGAAGCTCTGGACGAAGGGCTGAGGTCGGACCCACACAGGTGCGCACAGAACAGCAGGGGAGGAAGACGAGTGGGATCGGTCAGAGTGCTCCAGGCTGCCGTCCCGATTCGTTGCATTTCATCAAGTTCCGTTTCCTTAAACACCCCAGTTCACACCTGCTCATCCAAGCCGATAGGACATGCTAGCGTCTGCAGTGTTTTACTGCGGGCTGAAAGAAGCACGCCCCCTCCAGAAGACCCTCGGGGGCCCTGTCCCCTCCCGACCTGCTGCAGGCCTGGGCATTACAGTCACCAGGAGGCCCTCGAGGAGGCAGAGGTCAGAGAGGGCGAGTGACGCCCCCAGAACCACACAGCTATCGACAGAGTGGCACTGCTGGGCTGTGTGGCCCAGGCAGGCGCGGACGGCTCGCTCACCTTGGAAATGACAGCCAATGTCTGCTCCACGCTCGCAAAGAAGCTGGTGGACGTCCTCCCCTTCTGCTTCAGCTGGTGCTCGAGCTGCAGCAGGGCCGCGAGCTGCGAGCTGCTGGTGCTGGCCGTGGCCGTGAACAGGACATCCCGCATCATTTCTGAAGCCAGGCAGCTCTGAAACAGACCCGGGACGGGGCCGAGGGCCTGAGCCCTGCCCTGGGCCAGGGGGCGCCCATGTGGGAGGGGGGCCAGGGAGCGCTCATCTTGGGATGCTGTGCTTCTCCTGGCCACCGGCCATCACCAGGTGCCCCCAGCACCTGCTCACTTCTTTGCTCTCAGCCTCAAGAGCATGAGGCTTGGTGGACCAGCAGGACGTCAGTAATGGGGGCTGGGGCTCAGGGGAACCCCAGGAGGATGGGACAGCCTTCCCCACTTCTTCCGGTGACCGGAAGCTGCCTCTTCCAGCTGAGCACCACCCTCTCAAGGCAGAGACGCCAGCTGTAGCCTGGCTGGCCAGCCCACCAGCAGGAGGGAGTGCCGGGTGTCCAGGGAAGTGCCCCTTCCAAGGTGGCCAAGAAGGGCCTTGAGAAGGGGCACAGAGCAGAGCCGTACCTGAGACAGTGCCAGGAACTGGCAGGTGGCCTCCGGGTCCAGGGCGCCGGTGCACTCCACCATGTCCAGGCTGGCGGCGGCGGCCACGTCCAGGAGGCGGCTCCCCAGGGCGACCTGCATGCACTGCAGCAGCGCCTCGGAGGCCTGGGCCAGGTGCCGCCGGGCCAGCACCGTCCTCCTCTGCGGGGGCGCAAGGCTCGGGCTCAGGTGGGCTCTGTGGGCGGGGCCTCACGGGGCAGGAGGTGTGGCCGTACCTGCTGATCCGAGCCCTTCCTGCGGTGCTCCTTGGGGGTGGCCCTCGAGGCCCGCAGGTCCTCGTAGTGATCCTTGCTGGCCCTGTCCTCCGGGAGCGTCTCCAGTTGCCTAAGGCCGTTCAGCTCAGGGCTGGCCTGCGGAGAAGACACCTGTCAGCCAGCATCCAAACCACTGCCAAGCCCGGCTGTGCCCGTCGCACTTGGGGCATCTCTGTGGGACCCCTCGGTGAGGCGTGCTGCAGGTAGCCGTCAGGCCTCTCACCGACTGGACTGACCTGCGGGGCCCTGGCCAGGAGACCTGGCGGCTGGCAGGTGCAGCCTGGGCGGGGAAACAGCTCTAGAGAAGCAGGCCCGAGTGTCCCCAGTCTCAGAACAATCGAATTCCGGCTTACTTTCCTTCAATCCTTGCAAGTCACCTTCCCCAGGCATGGGCACCAGCCAGCAAGCACCGTGCCGCCAGGACCGAGCAAGGCAGGCGCCCACCTGCCCCCAGGGACCTGGGCCTGCCTGACTGCAGGACCAGCCACCCTGACGAGGTCCTCGGGGGTGCCAGGGGACTCTGCCAGGGAGGGGCGCCAGGCAGCAGGTACAGAGGGAGCCTCTGGGTCTGTGGGGTCACGACAGGGACCAGCAGGGGGAAGCCCGGCTGGGGAATGGGGCTGCGGAACAGGGGTGGGGCTGAGTGGGCACACTTCTTGGAGGACACCTGCGTGTGTTTCCCCGTTGGCCCCTCTGAGAGGGAGCATGGTCAGTGCCATTCCACAGGCGAGGACCCCAACCCCGAGGGGAGGGGACTGCTAAGGCTGCACCTGTGGTCGATGTCCACCTGACTCCACACCTGTGTAGGTGCTCAGCACACACAGACCGAGCGCGGAGCCAAAACTCCATCATTGCCCCCAAATGTGAGTCCAGTCCTAGGTCCTGGGATCCACACAGACAACACGTCCGGACTGGCAATCACACGGGGGTATGGAGCCCAGCTGCTCGGGGCTGGGGTCCTCCTGTAAGAGCAGAGTCCATGGCGATAAGCCTGACTTTGCCTTTCAGCAGGCTCCTTCCAGGTGGAAGGAGTGCCATCCACAGAGGCATTGAGCCCAGTGGCCTGCTGCTTCTAGAGCCCGTGGCAGCAACTATCACCAGCATTCCTGTCCCGGGGCCACCAGGCCTGCTGGGCAGCCTTGCTGGGGGCTCTAGAGACAGTGTGGGTGGCGGAAGGGAGTGAGGGGGCTTGGGGTTCCCTGCTGCACGTGAGGAGGGGGGTTTTCTGCACCCGGCACTCAGGCAGACGCCAGACCCCCTGGAGGAGAGCTGCTGAGATGCAGGCGGGACGCCCACATTTGGGGCTGGGGCGTCCTGCACGTGGACCACCTACGTGCTCACTCCCCCTTCCTCTCCAGAGTCTGTCTCCAGAAGTCCGTTTTTCTCTCCCACCCACTGGTCACGCCGGAGAGACTACTGCTTGCCTTTTTCTCCCTTTCTCAGGCCACACCACCCTTCTTTTTTTAAATTTTATTTTTTTTAAGATTTTATTTATTTATTTGAGAGAGAGAGAATGAGAGAGAGCAGGAGAGGGAGGAGGGTCAGAGGAGAAGCAGACTCCCTGCTGAGCAGGGAGCCCGATGTGGGACTCAATCCCGGGACTCCAGGATCATGACCTGAGCCGAAGGCAGTCGCTTAACCAACTGAGCCACCCAGGCGCCCCACACCACCCTTCTTAACCAGGGACAATTCGAGGCCTGTTTCATATCCCTGTTCTTACTGAGATTAGGTGAGGTTGAAATAGCTGCTTTTGTTTTTACGCATGGGTGAGGGGCTTGCAGGTGAGCACATACCGAGAGGCCCTCCTCCCAGTAGCAGGTGGGGTGCTCGGGGTCTGCGTGGATGGCCAGCAGGCGGAGGGCCTTCCCCGCCAGGCCCAGGACCTGAGCACGGATCTCCACGCAGCCAGCACACAGCGAATGCAGGCTCCCCAGCTGCGCCAACACAACGTGGGCCAGGGTCCGCCTCAGCATGAACCATTTCTACAGGAACACAAACCGCCTTGTGGTTACTTGCACCCTGCCCTGGAAAGTGCCAGAGGACTACCCTCTAACACCCCCGATCCCCCCCCACCACCCCATCCTGTCCCTGAGTTCCCTGGTCTAACGCCCCCAGGAGTGGCGCCATCCAAGCTGAGAAATGCACCCTCTGGCCTTTGGGGAGGGTTTCCAGGGCTTAGGTGTTGGGAGGGTCACTAAAATCTGCTTATATAACCTTAATTTGAGACTCACTGACTGACAAATGGATAAGCTCATATCAAGTTCAATTTTAGGCCTATCTTTGATGTATTTATGGTTACATCAAGTTAATTTGATTCATAGTACATGAAATCTAAGAAAATGTCCGAAATGGCAGGACGTTTCCTTCAGATCTTTTGCAAACTCAACTTTTTTTTTTTAACAAAATGAATTCACCTTTGTAGAGCTCTTTAATATGCTGCCATAATTAGTCAAAGCAAACGCATACCCTGGGTAGGAGAGTGCAATGCCCCTGGGAACGTCCCCCAGGAGACGCCCAAGGCTGTCAGACCGGGGGCCCTGGGAGCCGCCGGGGCTGAGAACGCACTCGCAGGCAGAGAGCTCGGCCCTGCGCCTTCTCCTGGTCAGTCCTGCCGTCCCAGCACAGCACCCCACAGACGGGACCGAGAGCAATGGGCCCACTTCATCTCGGGACGGTTACCAGGCCTGTGGAGGTGTAGTCACTCAAGCTCTGCAGATAGTCGGCCAGCAGCTTGTCCATGGAGCCCTGCTCAAGCTGCTGGGCCTGGGCCTCCGCCCACATGAGCTGCAGCATGTCCAGAGACGCTTCTGCAAGGCTGAGCCGCAGGAGCGCCAGCTTCCTCATCAGAGGCGTGTTGATGTTCTGCAACTGGGCATGCCAGACACAGAGCACCGCGATTAAAACAACGCACGGGTCCCTCGCCCCCACATCCTCACGCCCCTTTCTTGTTTTTTTTTGAATGGATAAGCATTCTTTTTTATTTATTTATTTATTTATTTAATTTTTATTAACATATAATGTATTATTTGTTTCAGAGATACAGGTCTGTGATTCAACAGTCTTATATAACACCCAGTGCTCATTCCATCACATGCCCTCCTTAATGCCCATCACTCAGTTATCCCATCCCTCCTTGCCCCCTCCACTCCAGCAACCCTCAGTTTGTTTCCTGAGATTAAGAGTCTCTTATGGTTTGTCTTCCTCTCCGGTTTCATCTTGTTTCATTTTTCCTTCCCTTCCCCTACGATCCTCTATCTTGTTTCTCAAATTCCTCATATCAGTGAGATCATATGATACTTGTCTTTCTCTGATTGACTTATTTCACTTAGCGTAATACCCTCTAGTTCCATCCACGTTGTTGTAAATGGCATGATTTCATTTTTTGATGGCTGCATAATATTCCATTGTATATATACACCACATCTTCTTTATCCATTCATCTGTTGACGGACATCTTGGCTGTTTCCATAGGTTGGCTATTGTGGACATTGCTGCTATAAACATTGGGGTGCAGGTGCCCCTTCAGATCCCTACATGTGTATCTTTGGGGTAAATACCCAGTAGTGCAATTGCTGGATCGTATGGTAGCTCTATTTTCAACTTTTTGAGGAGCCTCCATACTGTTTTCCAGAGTGGCTGCACCAGCTTGCATTCCCACCAACAGTGTAGGAGGGTTCCCCTTTCTCCACATCCTTGCCAACATTTGTTGTTTCCTGACTTGTTAATTTTAGCCATTCTGACTGGTGCGTCACGCCCCTTTCTAACCGGGTCCTCCCTCCCAGGCAGCAAGGGGCCACACTCCAGCACCACAAGCTGGTTTGCAAGTTCTAGAGTTTGTACCACTGTATTCACACAGCATGTGCTCTCTCCGGCTGATTCCACTCCCGTATTTATTTCCAACCCATCCACGTTGCTGCTTGCACTCACACCTTTCCACTGATGAGGAGCACCTGTCGTACAGGTGGGCCCCAGCGCGAGTATCCACTCACACTCGGGGCTACTGCAAATACAACGGTCGTGAACACGTGTGCGAGAGCTTCTGTGTGGACGTGGGCTTTCACCTTTCTCAGGTAAATTAATTCCTAGGCATGGGATGCTGGTTCCTCTGGTGGCCCATGTTTAACTGCCAAGCTGTGGTCCGTGCTAACATTTGCTATGCTGTCTTTTAAACTGCAGCCATTTTAATAGCTCTGATGGTTTCCCTGACTCACTTGTGGGTTCATCTTCCCCTCATGTAATTATTTACCATCCACATATTTTCTTTGGAAAAATGTCTGCTCAACTCTTTGCCCACTTTTTATGGGGTTGTTTCTTTTTTTTTTTTTTTTAAAGATTTTATTTATTTATTTGACAGAGAGAGAGAGAGTGAGAGCAGGAACACAAGCAGGGGGAGTGGGAGAGCGAGAAGCAGGCTTCCTGCCGAGCAGGGAGCCCGATGTGGGACTCGATCCCAGGACCCTGGGATCATGACCTGAGCCGAAGGCAGACGCTTAACCATCTGAGCCACCCAGGCGCCCCTGGGGTTGTTTCTTATTATAAGTTTTACGAGGGTTTTATATTCTGGATACAAGACCTTGTCAGTCATATGGTTTGCAAATATTTTCTCCCAGTTTGTGCCTTGTCTTTTCACTCCCTGAATACCGTCTTTTGAAGAGCAGGCTCTAATTTATCAGTTCTCTCATGGATCTTGCTTTTGTTGCCGTATGTAAGGAATCTTTACTGAACCCAAGGTCCCAAAGATGTTTTCCTCTAGAAGCCTTATAGTTTCAGCTCTTGCCTTCAGATCTATGGTCCTCTTGGGGTTGAATCTTGTGTCTGCTGTGAGGTATGAACTGAAGTCTGTCTTTTTCATGGGGATTTCCAAGTGCTCCAGCACCTACTGTTGTATGGAGTAGCCTTTCTTCACTGAATTGCCTTTGCTGTTTGTTGAAAAGCAATCTTCTGTCTGTCTGTGTATCTATTTTTGGATTCTCTGTTATGTTCCATTGATCTGCTTGTCTTACTTTTACACTAAAACCACACTGCTTTGATTCCTGTCACTTTATAATAAGTCTTAGAATCAGGTAGTGTTAGATCTCCAACTCAGTTTTTCTTTTTTAAAGTTGTGTTTGCTATGTTACATCTTTTGCAATTCCAAATGAAATTTAGAATATTTTTTTTCAATTTTTATAAAAAGCCTGCAGCTTCTTGGTCAGGATTGCAGAAAATTTATTGAGATCTTAGTAATAGCAAGTCTTCTGGTCCATGAACATTGTGTATCTCTCCATCTATTTAAGTCTTCTTCAGTTTCTCTCAGTGATGTTTTCTAGTTCTCAGGGGTAAGTTTTCACTTTTGTCAAATTTCATTTTTATGCTGTCCAATGGTTTTGTTTCTGAATTTTTAATATCTGATCAATCGTTGAGAGTATATAGAAATATAAAATTAATATTTGCATATTGTTCTTGCGTCCTGAAGCATTACTGCAATCACTTGTTAGTCCTAGTACATTTATTATCATTTTTGTAGATTGCATGAGATTCTTTCTTCTTTTTTTTTTTTTAAGAGAGAGCAAGCAGGTGGAGAAGGGGCAGTGGGAGAGGGAGAGAGAATCTTAAGTAGGCTCCTCACCCAGCATGGAGCCCAACTTGGGGCTCAATCTCATGACCCTGAGATCAGGACCTGAGCTGAAATCAAGAGTCAGATGCTCAACCGACTGAGCCACCCAGGCACCCCTGCTGAGATTTTCTATACAGATAATCCTGCCATCTGTAAACAAAGACAGTTTTACTTATTCTTTTCTAGACTGGGCATTTTTAATTTCTTTCTCTTACCTATTGAATTGGCTACAACTCAAGTATAATTCTGAATGAAGGTAGCAAGAGGGCTTTGCTTTTCCCACTAAGTGTGACGTGAGCCCTAGTGTTTTCATGGATGCAGTCTATCAGCTGGAGGAGCTTTCCTTCTATTAATAGTTTGCCAGGAGTCTTTTTTTTTTTTCAATCAGGAATGAGCGTTGGGTTTTGTCAACTGAGGTGATCATATGGTTTTTTAATTTAAAAAAAAAATATGGTGAGCCAAATTGATTGATTTTTGAATGTTAAACAATCCCAGGATAACTCTAACTTGGCATTGATGTGTTATCCTTTTTACACATTATTGGATTTAATTTGCTAAAATTTTGTTTAGAACTTCTACATCTGTGTTCATGAATAATAATGATCTGTAGTTTTTGTTTTGGTATCAGGGTCATACTAGCCTTACAGAGTGGGGATGTGTTCCTTCCTTCTCAATTTTCTAAAAGACTTTGTGTATTATGCTTTCCTTAAATGTTTGCTAGGATTCACCAGTAAAGCTACCTGGCTCTGATGTTTTCTTTGTGGAAAGACTTTTAACTACAAATTCCATTTCTTTAACAGATGGAGGGCTATTCAGGTGATCTATTTTTTTTTTTTTTATGAGTTTTGGTTGTTTGTGTCTTTCAAGGAATTGTTCTATATCATCATAAAGTTGTTCAGAATATTCCCTTATTATCCTTTTAATATGTATAGGATCAATGGTGATGTTACATCTCTTATTTCAGATATTGATCATTTATGTCCTCTCTTTTTTTCCTGATCAGTCTGGACAGAAATGTATGAACTTATTTATCTCAAATAACAACTTGTGGTTTTGTTGATTTTATCTTTTATTTTTATGTTTCCTATTTCACTGATTTCTGCTCTGATCTTCAATTTCCTTTCTTCTTATTTAGAGTTTGCTCTTCCTCTACTTTCTTACAGTGAAGGCTAAGGTCATTAGTTTGGGATCTTTTTTCTTTTGTCATACAGTTATATAGTGCTACAAATTTTCCCTTAAGCATTGCAATTAGAGACATCTTAAAAATTCTGACATGTGTTTTTCCCCCCTTCAGTTCAGAAATACTTTCCCTTTTGATTTGTTCTCTGGCTCATCGTTAATGGATGCTATTTACTTTCCAAATATTTGGGTATTTCACCCATAACTTTCTGGTATTTTTTTTTAATTGAGGTAAAATTCATATGACATAAAATAACCATTTTAAAGTGTACAATTCAGTGGTACTTAGCGCATTCACAACCTTGTGCAACATCATCCTTATCTACTTCCAAAATGTTTTGTCATTCCAAAAGGGAACCCCCTCCCCACTCAACAGCCATGTCTTATGCCCCTCCCCAGCCCCCTCCCCTACAACCACTGATCAGCTTTCTGTCTCTATGGACTTAACTATTCTATGTTTTATGTTGCTTTTTGATTTCTACTTTAATTGCCTTGTGGTCTTAGTTTATATATATGTACACACACACACACACACACAAACTGGTCAGTAGTAACTTTTAACACCCTTGTCTTTGCATTGTGATATCCGTGCCAGTTCTCGGTTGGTCTTGATGGATTGTTCTGCATGTTATGAGGTATATCTTCCCTGCTTTTTGGCATGGTAATTTTGCATGCCATTTTTGATTGGGATTTTGTCATGGTAATTTTGCACTGGTTGCCAGACATTGTGCGTCTTCCGTTTTTGGCAGATGGACACTTGTGGTCCTGCTTTTGCCTTTGCTCTGGGACCACCATCTGCAAACACGGTGGTCCTCTTCGGTCTTCTACGACTTTTCAGGCAGATCCAGGGCAGGGCTCATCCAAGGCGGATTATCCCTGACTGAGACAAGACCTTCTGTCTGCTCTGTGCAGTGCTCTGGGGTCACGAGGTTGTCCAGTCTGGCTGGCGGGAGCAGGTGCCACTCCAAGCCTGAGTGGGAGACTGACACCTTCCTGACCCCCTTGGGCCCCCTGCTTCTGCAGTGAGTGTGGACAGGGGCAGGGCCGCCTCTGTTCAGGGATGACGGTGCTCATGTGGACATCTAGTGTGTGTCTGTTTCACATTTTTGTCCACTTCTTGGTTACTTCGGAAGGGAGGGCAAACCTCAGCCAAACTGAAAGCGGGCAGCCTGTTTAGCGCAAGTGCAGGGTGTATCTGTGTGTGCCGAGGGGGAGCTCTGGGCTGCAGGGAGGGACCCAGGACACACACTCACCTCCTGCAAGGACAGTAAGCCCTGCACCCTGAGGAACAGCTCCTCCGCCTCGGCCACAGCTCTTTGGACCAAGTCGTACGCCTCCAAGTGATACGCGGCTTTTTGCTCTTCATTTTTCTCATTTTGGGCACATAATCTTTATAAGATGGAAGAGTGGAATTTAGAAAAAAAATTTCAAGCATTATACCATCAGTATTAACAAAATGCACAGTATATAATTTTTAAATAATTATATTGTATTTTTATTAGTGCTTTAAATTTTATGATTAGTTGTTCTATATGTAAAGATATTGTCACTGTATCTCAGCACAAAGTAAGTGTGCACTCTACACTATTTCTGTAAAATTAAATCTATGCCTAACAGATCCAGTGAACCAACACCACGATATTAGTTGTGCTGATTTAACTGCCTTGTTTTCCTACTTGTGGTTTCTGCATTTTTTAAAGTTCTACAATGACCATATATTGGTTCTGTAATAATAGGATCAGAGTTACATTCCACAAGTGTCCAGGTGGTTTTTCCCTCATCAAGGCTTTTTTAATACCTTCTAAACAACATTTGGTTGTCGTGCTTCGAAATGCCTGCATGTAGCCCAAGCACGGGGCGGCCCAGGGCTGGATGGATGGAGGGGAGGTGGGAGAGGGAGGCCGTTTACTGAGGCCTGGCCTCGTTCCTCTGCCTCTGGGCCAGTCTCTACCCTCGATGACAGTGGGGACTTTGAGAGGTCGCATGAGGGAGGCTGACAGAGGCCCGCTGGAGGGCAGCTCCCGGGCTCCTCCTCAGGCCGGTGCGGGTGTGAGCAGGTGCAGGGGCATGTGGGGTTCACGTGTGTATGGCTGTGAGTGAGCATCTGTGAGTGGTCACCGGCAATGTGCACATGTGGGTGTGACCTGTGTCTGCCCAAGTGTGACCAACATGTGAACGCTGTGGGTGTTGGGGGGGCGGGCGCTGGGAGGCGTATGTCCGTGTGTCTGCAGAGACGCAACAGGTAGGACACTGAGGGGGCCGGACGAGAGCGCGGACACCCCCTGTGCTGCTGTCCTGGAGGGAGGTGCAGGTGGCCACAGGGCCAGGAGGAGGTTCTGCTGGAGGACAATGGGACCCAAGGGGGGCTTGACCCAGGAGGAGAGCTGGGCATGGGTCAGGACAAGGGGCAGGAGGGTGGGGGCATAGGGACGGTCCCGGACTGTGCTCAGAGCGCCAGCCCCTCAGCCCCCCCCAGGAGGGCCCCCCCAGCAGGGCTGCTCACCTCTTTATCTTTGCGCGCTCTAGTTTTATGTCCACACAATTCTCTCTGTAGCCCCAGGTGGTCAACTTTTTCTCAATCTCCATCAAGTGATCATCCAGTTCGGTCAGCAGAAACAAGCATTCACAGTCAAGTAGTCCCTGAACGGCCCGGATGCGGAGGCGCACACATCTGCGGGGGGCGTGGACCGTCCCATGTGTTGACTGCAGCCCGGGCAGCGTCACCGTGACGCTGAGCGCCCTTCCCGCAGGCCAGAAACCACACAGGCCACATGCTTCCATCACAAGACAGTCAAGCTGGAAAGTGGCATCCTCCCCCCCAGCCGCAGCACCGCCCTCCTGTGCCTCAGGGGCAGGAACCCACACGGAAACCCACGTCCGACGCGCGGGTGCCGCCGGCTGGAGTCCCGGGAACCCTGAATAGGAGCGGGAACCCGTGCATGTGGGCAGCCAGGAACAGCCCCTCTCGGATACAGGACCCAGAACTGAACAAACACAACGCGGAAAACGAAGACGACAAGCCTCGGCTGCTTCTTTGTTCGGGTCAATGAAATGGTGACGCGCAGCCCTGATTTAGGAGAAGAGCGGGGCACGGGCGCGGGGCGGGGGACAAAGACTCTGTGACGTTACAGGACAAGATCCAGAAACACATACCAACACGACCCAAATCCCAGAGGAAACAATTTTCCAGAAGAATACAAATTCCCAGAAAGATAGCTCAAAGAGAAGCCAAAAATCTGAACGATCAATAAGCACAGAAGGCCATTGCCACTCTTCAAAGCTCTGTGCCCAGACAGGCGACAGGCTCGGGAAGCAGCCGGCGCAGAGGTGAGGACAGAGCCCGACAGACCCCAGGGAGGCATCTGCTCATGGCACCGAGTTCCACACTGTCACGGGGGACGGAGAAGACCCGGCAGCCAGATCCCCGCGGGGGGTCTGCCTGCCCCTCACCTCACAGGTGTCCACGAACACCTGGGGGGAGCTCAGAGGCGTCCCCTGAGAATTTAGGAACCAAACAAGCCACCTGCATCCCTGTCCCAAGAAAAAGGCACACTGGAAAGGAAGAGACACTGCCCCCAGGAGCGGGAAGGCCGAAGGTCAGGCTCTGGCGACCTCCCCGGGCCCCCTCCCCCAGGGGCCACGTGCTGCACACAGGTTTGGAAAACCTCATAAAGAAAAAGTCAACCCTGGCTTTCATGTGAATTAAGTTTTTCCTACAAAGGACTACCTGGCTTCTAGGTCTGTGACCATAAATTCCAAGATGGGCACTCGGTTAGGTCTTTCCTTCTGCAGGACCCTGAAGGTATCGATGAGTCTTTGAAACAACTGGAAGGCCTGAGGAGGACAGGGCGCTGACGTCTGCATGTGGCTCCCAGACACAGAGACCCGGCCACACGCCCCCCTCGGAGAGCGCCAGGGGGGCCCTACCACCACTTCGCTGCCGTCGCTTCCCATGGCCAGGAGCGTGTCTGCCAGAGTCAGGGCTGAGCTGTACCAGAACTCCTCGCCCCCTCCCAGGTGCTGGGCCTGCTCCACCATCTTCTTCGCTTGTCCGTAGTTTCTCTCCTTGTTTGCCAGTTGTGCAAGAAGGTGCAGACATCTTGCTTCCGCACAAGGGTCATTGAGCTCCTAAAATATGTATATGTGCGGAGAGAAGATGGGGTGCGGGGGGAGAGACAGCGTGAGAGCAGCTCGGGGCACCAGGCCTTCCCACACAGTGTCCACTGGGCTGCCCCTCACCTCTGAAGGACGCCCCATATTTGCCCTCAGGGCATGGGGCTGGGTAGGCTTCTGGCCTGTGCATGTGCGAAAACCCACTTCCAGGGTTCCTGACCCCTCCCCTTAGCGGCAGTCCCCAGTGCCCTCCCGGGAGCCGCCGTCCAGATGCTGGCCGAGGGCAGGGGGGGGGGGGGCGAACGGACTTTTGCACCCTAGCCCGCCGGGGCCATCTCATCCCCCATCCATCGCACACAGTTGCAGGTGGCCTGGGCATGGGGTGGGGGTGATGTTGGCCTCTGAACCGCACCCGGGGAAGGAGGACGCGGGGTGCTCAGGCAGGAAGAGCAGGAGTCCAAGGCGGCTGGCTCCAGACAGAGCACTGAGCATGCAGCCCGAAGAGACTGAGGAGGGGGCCTGGTGGGCCTGGGGCCTGTGGTCCAACAGCCAAGGCCGCAGAAGGCAAATACAGGCTGGAGGCGAGGAGAGGAGGTAGACGCAGGCGGTGGACATACTGGCCGGCGGTGGGTGGGGGGGAGCCACAGCGAAGACGCAGACTGCGGGCTGCAGTGGACGGAAGCAGGGGCTGGTGCCTGCAGACGCCCCAAGGAGACATCACCAGGCTCTGACCACCATGGCCCCACAGAAACGTGGCCATGGTGTGGGTGGTTGAGGGCAGCGGACGGCCAGAAGGGAAAGGCCCGTGGGCAGAGCACCATCCGCGCATGTGGGACACGTGAGAGAAGGCTTGGGAGGGGCAGTGTGGTGTCTGGAGGAGCGAAGGTACCCCTTCCACCCTCTGGGGATGGACACTCCCCAGGAGCTGACACCTGGCTCCTTGACCCACTGGTCTCAGAAGAGGCCGTTGCCAGCCTCTCAGTCCCACCCTGGGTGCTCCCTCTCTTGCCCCCGGCCTCACCCCTTTGCAGTCCGGCCTGCACACAGCTATCTGTGTTGGCCTGAGCACCCTGCCCACTGCCTGAATCTCCCATGGCCTTGAAGTTTTGTGCTTTTATTAGGGACTTCTCTCTCTCTCTCGAGTCCTTCAAAACCAGGGACAGCCTGTCTGGTCCTTTAGTTTTGCCTTGCCTGCCCCCCCATCCCCCGTGAATGCAGTTCTCCGAGCTGGATGCAGATAGAACCACCTGTCCGCAGGTGCCGGAGGGCCACCATCTCTATGGGGAGGGATGCACACACAGGCATCCATCCTCACGGAGGGCAGAGCCCCGGAGAAAAGCAACAGCCCGGCTCGGGAGGAGACAGCTGGGGCTTTGGAGCCTCCAGGTGCTGGCACTAGAAGGGCCAATCACGGGGGCACCAGGAGGGCCCAAAGATCTGTGCTCAAGGGCAGAGCAGGTTCAAGAAGCTGAGCAGACGGGAGTAGCAGGGGGGCTAAGGAGCTAAGATCTGAACAGCCAGACTGGAATGCAAGCCTTTGTGAGGGGGCTCAGAAAACCCCGAGAGACCACAGATACCTGCAGGGCCCACACCTGAGGAGTAAGGACAAAACTCATGGGCCGGGGGCCTAGCCCCAGGCCCTCCAGGCTCTCAGCCTCTGCACGCAACATCAGGAAACGCAGCGCCGGGAACACTGCCATCCGTGGAATCAGACCCGCGGCAACCATAGGAAGCAGGGACTTTAGCAAACTCTCCACAAAGAATGAACGACAACCAGAGAAACAGGAGAAGGGCAGAGACTTAGATCCAAGTCCAGGATGGACGTTCCAGAATGGGGAGCGGCAAGCCAGCTTCCAAGCAGACAGCCCGAGTCCCAGAGAGCTGCTGTGGTGCGCAGGCGGGCGGGGCTGATTCCGGCGGTGCAGGCGCCCCCCGGGCCCCGCAGCCCCTCACCTGGAAGGCCAGGTAGGCCTCCGACAGCAGCAGCCTCGCAGGCTGGTACAGGTCCATGTCCAGCAGCACTTCTGCTTTGAGGGTCCACAGCTGGGGGAAGGATGTCCCTTCCAGGCCCCTCCCGGTCTCTCCGTTTATCTTCAGGAGCTGGAAGGCAGGGCAGGCAGGTCTGCGCCATGGCTGGCGGGAAGCTGCCCACCGTCCGTGGTTTCCCACCAGGCCGGGCCCCTGCCTCGGTAGCGAGCGGTCTCCTGGGACAGCCATCTCTCCTCCCCCACCAGCTCGCCCCCGGGGGCATCGGAGCTGGTCCTTGCTGCCGCTGCTCCCGCCCATGCCCCATGCTCTGTGACCCCACTCTCCGGTACCAGGCGGCACCTGGACCAGCACGGGAGGTGTCACTGAGCCCCTGAATTCGGCAAGACACGTGGGGGCCTGGCATGTTCCTACCACGTCTCCCAAATGGTTGACGTTGGGGGCTCCCAAATGGAGTCCCAAGGGTGGAATGCCCGTGGTGACAGGCGTTCGGAGCGTGGTGGCTGGGATGGCTACTTTCCTTGATGGGCGAGCCCACACAAAGTGAGCCCACTGTGTGGAAGGGGAGCTGGTTAGTGGTCAGACTTCCTGGCCACTCTTTAGCTGCCAGGCCTCGACCACCCTGCCCGTCTTCTCTGAATCCTGCCCAGTGCCTCTGGCGGGCATGCTCTGAGGTGATCTGTAGCTCCAACTTGCCCAGAGACATCCAGGGCACACCCGACCAGCCCCCGGGTGTCCCAGGGAACCCGGCACGAGGGTCTGGACACAGCTCACGGTGAAGACACGTCCCGGCTAGCAGCCCGAGGTTGGCCTCGGCGCTGCCCCGCTGGGCTAGGAACAAGGTGCTGCCTGCAGAGTGAGGGTACCTTGTCCTTGGCCACGAGGGGCTTCATTTCTGCTGGGTCCACTGCAGTTATGGGTTCAGCCAGAGTTGGCACACTGTCTTCCAAGAGCGGTTCCTTATTCTTCTCCTTTCTCAAGGCAATTTCTTTTCTGCAGCTAATGTGAGTAACACAGGTGATATGCCAAAGAAGAAATACAATGGCCAAGAAATACCTGAAAATGTCCAATGTCATTAGTAATCAAGGAATGCAAATTAAAATAGCTATAAGAAGCCACCGATCACTCACCTGTTTACAAAGATAACCCAACCTCCGGCACAGCAGCCCCAGGCTGAGCGTCCTCCCGCCCCCCAGTCTGGCTGTGATGCAGGATGGGGCCTGGGGTTGGAGGGGACAGAGCCGGGAGCAGTATCGCGTTGGCCAAATCCTTCCTTGGTTACAGGTGAGCTGGGGTCCCGCCCACGGGGTGTGGAACAGCGGTGGGGAAGGGCCACACCTTGCCTGCTCCAGCTCATAGATGTATGTCTGCCCGACCACCTCTTCATGGTAGGCAGCTGCTTCTCGCAATTTCAAATCCAAACAAGCAAGGGCAAGTCTAGGGGAAGGGGCGATAGGGAGAAAGAACACGGTCACACGGGACCTGGTGGATCACAGTCAGGCTGCACTGGGCTCAGTTGGCCTCAAAACAATTGGTGAACGAAAGAGGAATGTATAATTTAGTGATGTTTTCAGTAATTTTTAGACCTAAGCAAAATGACACCGGTCGGTGCCTCTACCAAACTTCAGGTACCAAGAATTTTAATTCTCACCCACACATCTTACTCCACACATACCGTCGCAGGGCGACCTTCAGAGGGAAGAATAAGGTACCGTGCGCAGGGCTGTGGCCACCGTGACGAGTGCAAAGCAGACAAGGCCTGCTTTGATTCTGATGTGAAACAGTTTTGTTTTGAGAGGATTTCAAGCTTACATAAAAGCGGCACAAACACTACAAAGAGTTACTGTGCATCCCTCGCCCAGACCGCTTCAGCACGAGCACTTCGCCGTATCAGCTTTATCGTTTTGCCTCCCCACCCCCGCCATCCCCCTATGGTTTTTTTCTGGATGATCTGAGAGCAGGCCACAGACACAGTGGCCCTTCATTCTAATACTTCAGCGTATATTTCCGTAGAACAATGATCTTCTCTTAAGGGCCAGGTCGAAATTTTAAAATAAAATTACTATTTTTATGTTCAGTATATTGATTTATTTGGTTTTACAAATCACAGGGACTATTATTTATAGAAATAGTCAACCACAGAATCAGTATTTGGAAATGCTGTTTGTTTTTATATTGCTTTGGGGAAATTTTTCCCTTTAGCCACCGAAATGTTCCCCAGTTTCCCTGAATATAAAACAGTCATACTGACCGCAGGTGGTAGAGATCCTTGAGGCTCTTGCTTTCTACCACAGATGCTGCAATTACTACACCCAACTGCAGGACTGGGATGGTGAGCTCGTAGAGGGACATCTTCTGCAGGGCTCTGACCAAATGGTCCAAATAATATAAAGTGTACGTCTACACAAATACACAACAAACATGTAAGGTCAAAGAGGGGAGGAAGGGTAGGCCACTAGCTGATAGGGTCTTTCTTCAAAAACCTCTATCCTTCTCCATGACAAGCACAGCTTGGGGCAAACAGCAGGTGCTCAACAGTGTTTGTTGAATGAATGAATGAATGAATGAATGAATGATGTGCTCTCCCCCTTCTCTCCCTCATTCATAGCTTTCATCTTGTCATCTGCGATCATCCATAATCTTCAACACCCAAGTACAGTTAAAAGTCCTCACAAGAAACAATCCATTTACATATTTACTCAAATTAATGTTTTTGTTAGATTTCTTCTACTAAAAACTGCGGATCCATTAAAAACAGAATTTCTTTATGAACACATATAACTGCCTTAAAATTTAATACAGGTGGAGAAGAACAATACTTATAACAACGGACTGGGTTTGATAAAATAATTATTCTGCAATGAAGAATTAGAAAAGTTGGATGAAGTATTTTAAAAACGCACCAAAAGCTCTGAAGACTGGGTAATTGATGCTGGGAGAAGTTACTGGGCTGAGTGCCAGAAGACAATGGGTATCTAGAGAAATGAGCCTGCCATATTGGGGTCCCTTTGTCCTGGGGGTTTCTGCGGAGTCAAGAGGCAGCTGAGAGGTTGGATGGTACTTCTGGTTTTTGTTTGTTTGGGTTGTTTTGGGTTTTTTTGTAAGGTGGAGACAACAAAACGGCCTTGAGGGCCCACTGAAAGCTTCATGCCCAGGCTGGGTGCCCAAAGGGCTGCACCTTAGGATGAAGGGTGATCTACAAGTAAAGCAGCCATCTCAGGGACTTCCTCAAAAGCCAGTGGCTTTGGGTGGCCTGGAGAACATGTGGTTCTTTGAGAGACTAATAATTGGTAACTCCTGATGAGGCTGGTCAGGAAAGAGGGGTGGGAAGACACAAATCCTATAGACCTGCAGACACTAAAAGATAATAAAAGCACATTAAGAACAACATTATATTACAAACTTGAAACTTTATATTAAGTGGAAATATCCTAGAAAAACACAATCCACCGAATTACAAGAAGAAACAGAAAATCTGAAGAGCTCCAGAACTACAAAGTAAACAGAATCATAACTTATGACCTTCCCATATAGAAAAAAAGGCCCAGAAGTTTCCACCAGGGAACTCTCCCAAATTTAAGGAAGAAATAACAAATAATCTTATACAAGTCTCCCGAAGAATAGTAAAAAAAAAAAAGATGGGGGGGCCTTCCACGGTGACAAGAGGAGTGTCCTGGCTGGCCCCGCCCTCATGCCCCCCAGGCCAGCAAAGATTATCTAAAGTCACAGGGAAAATGGTAGAAAATTCACTGTCACCATTGCCAGAAAGAGCGATTCACGGTTTTGTTCCTTTCTTAAGCTCCCAAGTTGGCTTCATACTATATCTTGTGTGAAATCTTATTCCTGAATCTTGACTAAACTCCTTAGGCTTAACCTATTGGCCTCAAAAATATTGGGCAGTTGCACTGCCATCTACCTCCTCATTACTATAGTAACCGGTTATGTACTTTTATTTGGAATGAACGTGATGAGTACCTCTCCGCTCAACTCCATTCACACAATCACAGATAACTATGCTAAGATCCACAGCAGAAGAAATACCAAGAAGAGGCCATCCCAGCATTAAGACATATTCCCATTAGTGAAGTAAATCAAATGGTTCTTTTTTGCAAAGAACTTTACACCAAAAACTAAATTGTATGTGGGCTAATACCAAGCATTTATTGTAAGTTTTGATATAATAATTTTGACCATAATTACTTTTATTATCTCTTATTAATAGCCTGATATTGAAATGTAAAAAAATTGAACTTCTCTTAGATTATGTTCCATTAATATTAAAATATTTTCAAATATCAGTTATTAATGGACAGAATAAATAAAATACCACTTCATCATATACCAGACTTTTAAAAAAAATAAGTATCAGTAAAAGCACGAAGTCCCTCCCAAAAAAGGGGCGGGGGAGGGACCACTTCCTAACTAAAAGGTCAATGTGAGATTGTGACCCAGAAGGACATGGATCCTTGGACTTTGTTTTTGTTGCTGGCGCTGAGCTCCTAAAACCCTTGCAATCTTGTGGCTCATGAGCCCCTTCCGAGCACAGATGAGTTTATGCCCAGGAGGTGACTCTGGGCAGCCCCCGTCCAGCTCAGGCTGGGAGCTGCGTGCTGGGGAACCAACCCTGTGACCAGAGGGCGGGAGCTTTGGTCCCACCCCCCGATGCCAGGCTCGGAGAGAGGCTGGAGACTGGATAAATCAACTGCCAAACATTTCATCACTCACGCCTGCATAACGGAACCTCCCTACAATTCCTAAGTGGAGCGGTGTGGAGAGTTTCCGGGTGGTGAACACGTCCACACGGGGATGGCGCACCGAGCGCCACGCACTTCGGAGCTCCTGTGCTCGGCACCTGCCCAGACCTCGCCCCGTGGACCTCTTCAGCTGGCTGTTCACTTGCATCCTTTCTAATAACCCGGTAATCTAGAAAGTAAAGTGTTTCCCTGAGTTCTGTGAGCCGTCCTAGCAAATCATCAACCCCGAGGAGGGGGTCACGGGAACCCCCAATCCGTAACCACGTCAGACAGCGGTGCGGACAGCAGTGTTGATGTGGGGGCCGCCCTGAGGGACTGAGCTCTGAGCCTGAGGAGCCCGCGCCCACCAACCCTGAGAGGTCCGTGCCGGGACTGGGCTAATTCACAGGACGCCCAGCTGGTGTGCACAGACAACAGGAGAGCTGGATGTTGGTGTGGAAAAGCCGCATGTCTGGCGCCGGCTGGGAGCAGGAAACGGTTCAGAGTCTGAGTAACTTTTTACCAAATCCTGACATGGGTGCTGTATGAACAGGAATGAACATGGAAGCAAACACCCCAAAGTGTCAAACACGATTATACATGAGATGAATAATATGTTTCAGCTACATTGATCATATTATGATAATCATCAGCAAAAGATCAATGTAATCAATTAAAAGAATAAAGGAGAAAAAACATTATCACTTGAACAGATGGAGAAAAATACTTGGTAAAAGTCTATAGCCATTCATGATTACAACTCTTAGCAAAGAGAAATAAGAAACTTCCCTAGTCAATAAAGAATATCTATAAAACTACAACAAACACCAATTATACTTCCAAGTATTGTTGGGGACCCTCCCGTTGAAGCAGGAAATGAGATAAGGTTGTGCACGGTCACGGTGTTTCTTCAACACCTGCCCAGGCCTGAGCCAACAGAGCCAAATAAGGGAATGAAAAGTGCAAGGACCAGAAATTAGGAAGTAAGCAGCGGGCTGTAGATGGAATGATTGTACGCACATGAGATCAAGAAGAATTTACAGATAAATCACCAAAATTATTAAAAGGTTAACAGAGGGGCACCTGGGTGGCTCAGTCGTTAAGCGTCTGCCTTCGGCTCAGGTCATGATCCCGGGGTCCTGGGATCGAGCCCCGCATGGGGCTCCCTGCTCTGCGGGAAGCCTGATTCTCCCTCTCCCACTTCCCCTGCTTGTGTTCCCTCTCTCTCTGTCTCTCTCTTTCTCAAATAAATAAAATCTTAAAAAAAAAAGGTTAACAGAATTATATTTCTATATTTCATGTGGAGTTCAAGCATGACACAAAAAGGCATATTTACAATAGCATCAAAAATATCAAATACATGGAAATACACCTAACACGTGCTTAAGCTCCACACAGAAAACTCGATCCATGGGGCGCCAGGGTGGCTCAGTCGTTAAGCGTCTGCCTTCGGCTCAGGTCATGATCCTGGGGTCCTGGGATCGAGCCCCGCATGGGGCTCCCTGCTCTGCGGGAAGCCTGCTTCTCCCTCTCCCATTCCCCCTGCTTGTATTCCCTCTCTCGCTGTGTCTCTCTCTGTCAAATAAATAAATAAAATCTTTAAAAAAAAAAAAAAAGAAAAAGAAAACTCGATCCTCTGTTAAGAATCGAGGGCAGTCTAAACCGGTGGAGAGGCAGACTGTGTTTATGGACGGGAAGGCTGTGGGAGAGGGTTAGCTCTCCCTGAGTCCACAGCTGACTCAGAGACTCTGAGCAATCACGACCTGCACCCCCCGCCCAGAGTGTTAAGTGGAATCCAACACCTGGATTCTAAAGTACACGTGGAAATGCAAAGAGAATGGAAAGAACGTCCTAGACCTTCTCGAAGAACAAGGTGAGGGCACGCAAGTTCAGTAATCACGACCGTGAGATGTGAGCACACATGTGTGGACACTGGATTCAGGAGACAAACATGGCTCTGCAAAGAAGATGGGCAAATGCTTTTCCCATAAATGGGGTTGGAACATTCAGATACCCAGATTTAAAAGCCTGAGGCTGACCTTGCCCTACACCACACCCACCAATCTCAGGTGGATGGTCCGTGTGAATCTGGCACATAAAACCATAAAGCTTTGGGGAAAATATTGTAAGAGAATATCTTCATGACCTTTGGAAAGAGAAACGGCCTTTTTAAGCAGGACACACAAAGTATAGTGACAAAGGAACAGATCACTAATTTTATCACATTAACACTAGGAACCTCTAGTCAATGAGAAGACCGCAAGAGAGCCAGGCCGAGAGTGGAAGGTAATTGGCCCTTCGTAAATTGTCAAAGTGTTGTTCCCAGACTAGATCAAGAATTCCTTCAAACTGACAAGAAAGAGACAGAAACCTTAATAAAATGTGGGCAACAGACTGGAAAGGCCGCAGAGAAGATGTCCGGGTGGCCAGAGGGCACAGGAAGGTGCTGCCATGCTTCCTCTGAACGGCCAGAGTAGGAAGGGGAGCCAGACGAGGCCGGCACAGTCGACCAAACACACGCTCCGAGACGCACGGCTTCCATCACGAGCGCTCACAGCAGCTTCGCGCGTGAAGCCACGAGCTGGAGACAACCCGAGTGTCATCCAGTGTCGAACGGACAAATGGACCGTGGTCTAGTCAGGGGCCGTGGGACTGCACCCAACAGGTGACGGAGACACAGACGACCGTGGACAAATCCCACAAAATACTGAGTGAACGAACCCAAACACAAAAGGTTTATAAGGAGTATTTCCACGTTTTTAAGCACAAAAGACAGGCAGAAGGCAGTGGGCACTGAAGGTCCCCAAAGTCTTCGGGTCTAACCCCTGGAACCTCACAAGCAACAGCTTCCTTGCCAGTGTGGTTAGTGTGGAAATCCAGAGAGGGAGGGATTTCTGTGGGTTACTTGGGAGGTCGCAGGCACAGACACTGCCCACAGGGGCGTTTCCGTGTTCAGCGTGTTCAGGGGCGGGGCTGCATGACGACAGGGAGCACGTGCTTCCCACCGACACTCCAGTTCGTCTGGGGAGAGTGGCGGCCGGGACGGGGAGGCCCGGGGCTGACCGTGCTTGCGCCTCAGCCCGGGCGGCACACACAGGGGTCTCCCTCTCAATGAGTCACTAAGCCCCCTGCTCAGGCCGCCCGCTTTCTGGATACACTTCACGGCAGGAAGGCTACTACGGGGCAGGGACACGGGGTTCGGAACGCAGCTGGCTGGCACCCCACCCAAGCCCGCACCCCTGCTTGAAGTCACCTTACCGGCTTCTGGATGCTTGACGGGTTAATGGTAAAGTCGCTTTTATCTTGTTTAAACACCGACATCACTTCTTCAGGGCAGGAGTAGGAAGCCCATTCTTCTATGCTTGTCGGTAAGTCTTCCAGCTGTTGGCTAGGAACCGCGGTGTGATGCTGTAAGCAGGAACGCAGGATTCGCTGTAGAATCAGCACAGCCTGAGCAGACGGCAGGGAGCCCTGAGAGGGCAGCGCCTTCGGGGACCCAGTGCTGCCTGGATCCGGGCCCCCCCCCACCGCCTCTGCCCCAACGGCGCCCCTGCACATGGCTGCCCTCCCTGTGACCCAAGCCCGAGCTGTGACCCACACCAGAGCCACGTTCGATTTCACAGCCAAAACACACTCTGACATCACCTGCAAGAGCACAAAGCTGATGCTCTCTGCCATGTGCAAACCAGAGTCTGCCTGGGGTGCCCCGGCTCGTGGTACCCCCAGGACCTGCGCATCTGCGTGCAGTCAGTGCTGTGTGGACACGTGCACAGAGGACACAGTGCTGGAGCCCGGTGGGAGTGCCCGCTCTGGACGGCCATGCACACAGGAGTGTCCGGCTGCGTGGGTGCGCATGTGGGCTGCAGGCCCCTCAGGATGTGGGGGCTCTTTTCCCCTGCTCCAGAGAGCTGCCCTCCTTCCCACACACCCACAGCCAGAGAGGAGACACATGTCCTGGGTCACCCTCCTAACAGCCTGGGGTTGTCCTCCACTTTACAAAAGAGGACACTGAGGCATAGAGGGGTCCGGCAGGCCCCACAGCCTGGGTGTGGGTCCAGGCCCAGCCATGTGGCCCCAGTCTGTGGCCCTGGCCCTCCACTGTCAGGGGCCCAGACACAGCCCCATATTCGAAAGTGCGCACAGTACCTGCTTGAGGTCTTTGCCCTTTTCTCTGTCCTTCTCCTTGTCCTTCCCTTTCTCCTTCTCCTTCCCCTTTTCCTTCTCTTTCTCCTTTTCCTTCTCCTTTTCCTTCCCCTTCTCTTTCTCCTTCTTCTTCTCCTTCTCTTTTTTAGGCAATAACAAATGTGAACTAGCTGTTGCTGCTAGAATTTTACTTTCTGAAATTGCTTTTCCTGCTGTTAATAAAGATACCTGTGAAAAATGAAATCCAGATTTGCAACATTAAGAACAGCCATGCACACGCTCCCCCACCTGCTCAAATCTGAGGGGCGGCTAGTGGTCCTAAGGCTCTGAGTGGTAACCTTGTGTCCACTAGGGCACCAGGGCCACACCAGTGAGCTCGCCCCATGCACAGGTGACTGCAGCGTCCCTCAGTGGGTGGGACACTCAGCCCCCAGGACCTGGACCAGCGGGGACATGGAGCTGACCTCCGAGGAGTGCCTGTCCCAGCTCCATGAAGTGAATTCATGTCTCTAATTGAGAACACATAGAACTTTTAGTGGTTCTCCTAAAAGAAGTGTTAAAGAATCCTTGTTTTGTGGACGGTGGGAGAGTGGGCTGGGGCATCTTGAAGACCAAGGATGCCTTCCCAGTCCCTCCCATTCTTCCCACTGCCAAGGGGTGACAGCCCCACTGTCCCCCAGCACATTGCTGGGAGGGTCGGGGCACTGCCCTCAGGAGGTCCTCGAGAACCAGAGGCTCAAAGAGCTGCCCTGGGAGGGCCCTGTAAAGAGATGATGGGGGAGGAGGGATGAACGAAAGAAGGTTCTGGAAGCCGAGGGCCAGGGCTGCTGAAAGGCAGGCAGATGCAATCATGGGCTGGCTGTCCCCTCCACATGCAGAGGCTCCCGGGACCGTTGCCCAGGGGTACTTCGTGGTGGATGGGCAAGGGTGGTGGAGAGGTTTCAGAGAAGAGTGTCCCCAGCCACTGCAGTGTGGTGAGGGCCCTCTTCCGAGGGCTGCACGAGCAGGCGAGGCCCGTGGGCTACAGGGAGAGGCATGGGCTCCTGCCAAGAGCTGGGGACCGATCAAGGAGCAGCCTCACGCCTCACCTGCCAGATGCGCTTGAGGTACGTGTAGGCCATGAGGCAGTAGTCCTCGTAGCTGGCCGCGCTCGGGGACACCATCAGGGCCAGCAGGGTGTAGGCGCGAGCCAGCGCCTCCAGCTGTCTCACGTTCCGAAGCTTCTCCAAGGTGACTGACCCCGCGTCCTCCGACACTACACTTTCTGGGGCTCCCTGAGTGGACAGGTGCTCCCCTGCAAGATAGGGGTGTCCAAGCCATGAGCATGTCCCTACTGGGTCCTTCTAGAAGGCATACCCGCCTTCAGGGGCCAGGCAGGCCTCAGGGATGGTGTCCCAGGGCTCTTCCCCCGGCATCTGAGGGCTCCTCCCCAGCGTCCCAGGGCTCCTACCCCGCGTCCCAGGGCTCTGTACCCCCATCCCTACCCCCCCGTCCCAGGGCTCCTCCCCCGGCGTCCCAGGGCTCCTCCCCACGCGTCCCAGGGCTCCTCCCCCCGTGTCCGAGGGCTCCTCCCCCCGCGTCCCAGAGCTCCTCCCCCTGCGTCCGAGGGCTCCTCCCCCCGCGTCCCGGGGCTCCTCCCCCCGCGTCCCGGGGCTCCTCCCCCCGCGTCCCGGGGCTCCTCCCCCGGCGTCCCGGGGCTCCTCGCCCCGCGTTCCAGGGCTCCTCCCCCCGGCTGCAAGTCCCCTCGGGGGCCCGAGAGGACACGTCCACCCCGGGCCCGGCTCTGAACCAGAGCAGACCCCACCCTCACCTGCCAGCTCAGGTGTGTCACTGGCAGGTGTCATCAGCAGCAGGATGTCAATCGCCCACTTCAGGTGGAATGTCACGTCTTCCATAGGAAACTGTTTGTAATACAGCCACTCGCTGAATTCCATGATGTACTCAACTTTTTGCCACTCGTTCTCTGGCTTCTTTGGGATGAAACAAAAAAGGACAGAAGAGACATGTGCTTACCACTCAGCATCCCAAACACTGAAACGGAGGGTGTCTTCTGGAAGCAAGTGTGTGCACAGACCCCGCCTCCACCGCGGCGGGACCCTCTAGCGGGACATCTGCTGTCCACACTCGTTAGAACCTTTCCGTTGCTGATAGTTTTGTCCCAAGACCAAAGCCTCGCAGATCTCTCCGGGCCCTCCACTCCCTTTGTGGGCCTGCCTGCCCGGTCTGCCCCTTCTGGCCCCCAGGCCTCCTGAGTCAGGCTGTCTTCAGTCTGTACCCAGCTTTGTTTCCTAAGGCACTCATTCAAATGTGTATGTGAGGCACTCTCTGGATGGTTCTGTGGTTAACCAGAGCTCCCGGGGTCAGGGAAGATGCTGCTCTGTCCAGCAGGCAGCCCCAGAGTCCAGCCCAAGGCCTGGCCCATGCACAAACTGGGTCACAAATCACTGCACCAGGGAGTGGAGCTGCTCCCCGGCCCTCACAGAGCAGAGCCAGCCCAGCCGATGGCACCTCTACCTTCCACCCCCCCGGCCCCACGCCCCCACCCCAAACACCATACTCCACACCTGACCCTCGGGCAAGTGGAGGGGAAGCTGCCATCTGTGGGGCGGGGGAAGGCAGGAAAGGGGAGGGTGGTGCCGAGGAGCAGGAGTTTAACTTTGGGTGCTGGGTTGACACATGGTAAGATGGAAGGGGGAGTGGGCAGTGGGACATGTGAGGTGAGGGTGGAAGGGGGTCCAGGCTACACACTACGTTGTGAGGAGACTCAGGGTAGAGGTCGTGTTTAGCCCAGGAGCCTGGCTGAGATCGTCAAGGTGGGAGGATTGTGGATGGAGCCCTGAGCCCCTGCCCTCCGCCTCAGTAAGTGGTGGGGGAGGGAGGAGTGAGCGAGAGGCAGGTGGACGTGGGAGCCCAGTGAAGGAAGCCTGTCGGGGGGGGGACAGGGCAGATGGGGCCTCAGGACCCCCATGGCTGTCTCGATGGCTTTGGCTAGAGTTCTGCAGGAGACCTGGAGAGGGTGAGAGCTGGGCTGGAGTGTTTATGACACAACCATCATCTTCCCAACAAATGGGGCTGGGAAAACAGGGCATCCACATGCTCACACCAGCCACAGTGTGACTCCAAGTGGATCAAAGATTCAATGTAGGACCTGCAGCAATGAAGCTCCTACAACAAACACAGGAGTAGATCTTCATGACCTTGGACTACGGGGCAGCTTCTTGGATACCGTCCCATAAGCATAAGCAACAAAAGAAGAAATAAATTGGGCTTCATCAAAACTATAAACTTTTGTGCTACAAATGGTATCATCAAGAAAGTGAAAAAGTGGCTGAAAAAACAACACAGAGAAAAAATTTACAAGTCTTGTATCTGATAAGGGGTCGTGCCCAGGATGCACGAGGAAGTCCTACAGTTCAACAATAAGAAGGCAAACAACCAAATTAAAAGTTGGGCAAAGCATCTGAATAGACATTTTTCCAAAAAAGATAGACACGTGGCCAATACATGCATGAAAATACATGCATTAGTCACCCGGGAAACATGATGAGACAGCGCCGTCACCCGCCAGGACGATACAACCAGGCGGCCAGGTGACAGTGTCGTCCAGGCATGGAGAGACTGGAGCGCTCTCTGCCACGGCTGGTGGGAAAGTGCTCCTGGAAGGTTGGGTGGAGATCGGCGCGGCCCCACAGTTACACTGTTCTGGCTGGGCCCAAGAGAAATGTGACCACGTGTCCACACAGCACTATTCGCAATAGTTAAACATGGAAAGAACACAAACACCCGTCCGATGGAAGACTCTCAGCCCTGAGCGTGAAGGAAGCTCGGACACAGCCTATCACACAAGGCCTGGACACATTATGCCAAGTGGAAGAAGCCAGTCACAACGGACACACCTTGTGTGACTGCACTTTCGTGAAATGTCCACACAGACAAGCCCTTATGGACAGAAAGTGGACTGGCGGCTCCCTGGGGCTGGCGGTGGGGAGAACAGTGAGGGCAGATGGACCGGGTTTCTGGGTTGTGATGGAATATTCTAACGTTGACCTTAGTGATGGCTGTGTGACCCTGTGTATTTACTAAAAACGTTTTGTACCCCTGAGAAACAGGAAGCAAGGGAGGAAGGGACTTGGGGTCGGGGGGACAGAGAGCCTTTGCAAGGAGCCTGGTGCCTTTCTCTGGAGCGGTGGGGTCCACGCTGCCCGGTCCCAGTGAACCTGGTGGGGACCTTGGTCTTCATTGACCACTCAGTGTTGACCACACAGAGCGGCGTCCTGACCCGTCCCCAGTTAATGCCTTCCCAAGAGACATGCCACCCCTGGGACCCTGGCTCAGTCGAGGAACCTCACGGCAGGATTTGCTCCGTGAGAGACGTTCTGTGTAACAGATATTTGGTGCCGGTGCATCTGACAGGGCTTCCTTGTCCTTCCGCAAGTCCCACCTGCTCTGCCGCCACGCCAGACACCGCCCCTCCCCCGAACCTGCCCCCAAGTCACTCGCAGTCCGTCTTGGTTCTGGTTGGGGTGGGGAGTCTCAGAAGGCTGCAGAGCCCTGCTCCGTCTGTAGCCCAGTCCAGCCTTGGGCGTCCCCCCTTGGGTGGGCTTCACCCACTCCCCCCACAGTATCTCCCCTGCAGCAATAGGGCGCCCCACCCACACAGGGACCTCGTCCCTCCACGCTGGGAAGGGGCGACGGAAGACAGGCGTCTGTCTACTGCCCCTGACTCATCAGAAAGGCACGTCCCCTCCCGTGGCTCCTCTGCTGGGCAAGGTCTTCCTTGGGGTGCCTCCACGCAGCTGCCCAGGGGCTCAGCCTCCCTCCACGGGGCCACATCCATACCCGAGAGGCTGGGTCACCACCACCCAAAGCTCCTCAGTCGGACCTGCAAGGCTTGGACGGCGTTGTGGTAGCAGACCAGCTCTCCGCAGACACTCTTCGAGTTCAAGGCCAGACGGTGCCACATGCGTGCCAAATAATCCTCGCTTTCGTCTTTGAATTTCTGTATTTCCATTGTAAAATTCTGGCCAAGTTTGGCCTTCACAATGACCATATGTTTAAAAATCAAGCTAGAAAGAAGCAAAAGAGATGCTTGAATGATAAACAAATACAGGTAATGCTCCTAAAACTAAGGAATCTGTGTTCCTTTTCCTACTTACAAAGACAAAACAGAATGGAACCTCAGTTCCTTGGCATTTGCGTGGGCTGTGTTTTAAATCCCCACCCTTCTTGTGTTGAATTCCCAGCGGGGAAATAAAGTCATCCGTGAGAATGGGAACGTGGCGGTAGGCACCGGTGGGGCGAGCAGGGGAGGGCGGCTCTCCGGGAGCCGTGCAGACAGGCGCGGGGTCCTGGGTGTCCTGGGGC